TCAACACTTTAGGAGAAGACTTCTCTCCCTTTTCCCTTTAAAAATGAAGGTCTATGCTTCACGCTCAGCAGGAAGGTCCATTTCAAATGAAATATGTATTTGTTTTGTTTCTGCATTTTTGTGTTCTCAGGTGTCAAAGTTAGCCTCCTGGCCCTACTCCTCCAGTATCAATCCCTGGTTGGGCTTTCATTGACCATAAGCAATATCCCATGTAAAAGTAGGTAAAAAGGTAAAGGGTCCCTGGATGGTTAAGTCCAGTCAAAGGTGACTATGGGGTTGCTGCGTTCATCTCGCTTTCAGGCCGAGGGAGCCAGCACTTGTCCACAGTTTTCCGGGTCATGCGGCCAGCATGACTAAACCGCTTCTGTGCAATAGGACACCGTGACGAGTGCCAGAGCGCACGGAAATGCCGTTTACCTTCCCGCTGCAGCGGTACCTATTTATCTACTTGAAACTGGCATGCTTTCGAACTGCTAGGTTGGCAGGAGCTGGGACAGAGCAATGGGAGCTCACCCCGTAGCTAGGTGGTAACGCTCCCTGGAGAGAAGTGGCTCATCTTGCCCATCTTTGGGGTTTTACTTTGGCTTTGGTCTTTTGCTCAAGGGGTGAGTTGTTCTTCTTAGAGGTTCACCTATCCTGTTTGAAGGAAAATATTTGTTTCATGTGAAAATCTCTGTAAGGGATGCAGGCCTGGCCAGGACACAGTCTGCCTTGCTCTGCCTAATGACATGGTCAGCCCTGCAAAGTGATAATTGTTGCATATCAGCGTAATCCAGGCCTCTCCCCAATGTGCTTAAATACAACTTGCTACAAAACAGACATTTGAAAAATGAGAACAACTTCCATGGAAATTTCTAGAAAGAAACAGGGTGGACACAGCAATAAACGACCCAGAGTTTGTGTGCCCTGAGAATAACTTTGGAAGATTTCTGCCCCATCCTCTGGGAGATCCAGTAATCACTTGCAATTACTGACAAGCCCATCTTTATTGCCACAAGAGCATACTATTGCATCAGAAACATAATGAAGCATGGATGCTTAAGACTGTGATACAGTATAAATATTTAGTGCAGGCAGCTCATGGAAGGTTATTTCTGCATATCTGGAAAATAAATAAAAATTGGTCATCTTGCAAAAAGCCCTCGAGCTGCTAAAGTTTGTGCCTTGATTTAATTTACAATGCAAATGTAAATGCTGTTTTTTATCAACCATGTTTTACTAACAATTGAAGCTCATCGCTTTGTAAAAACTCTTTAAATCTTCCTTTTTCTATTTCCCTACTGCTTTCCTTCTTCTAAGAGTGTGTTAAAGGGTCTTCTGCAAAATAAATGGGGGAGATTAATCATTTCCATATAATTACCTCTGTCAAAGGATGGCAGTCAGAGAACCAGGACTATCTTTACAATATGAATGGTGCCCTCTAGTGGTGAGAACTGTTCCATGTCCCTCCCTCCCAAATCCAAACATAAGTTAGTGGGCAATATTCTATATATGCACAGCACTGCCTAAAAAAAACTCCTGTGATCAGTTTAAATTCTACTTGCATAACATAATGTGTACAAATATCAACAGCACAATCTACATTTGGATGCAGCATCCTTTTTGGGAAAATTTGGCAAGGCTTTAAGAGGTTTCACAAGGAAATGGGATTTTTCACAAGGAAAACAAGGTCTCTATCGTGAGGGCTGGAAGGACACATGCAGGAATAAGGAGACAGGACCTGCATGCAGTGTAAGACTTGCAGTTCCCTGGAATCCCTCGTAAGGCACGTTTTCAACCCTAGCTGTGAAGATCAGATGCTCCCTTTGTTTCAAAATAAAGATGGAGGACATAGGCGCCGACTCCATGGGGCCTGAGGGGGCTCGAGCCCCCTCAAAAAATTTTTTGGGGGGCTCAGCCCCCCCAATAATCTCGGGCGCCCTTCCAGCAGAGCGCCGCCGCCGTCCCCCGCCTCCTCCCCACCTGCTCCCTCGCCAGCCAGCCAGCCAGCCGCGCGCCCTAGTCGGAGAGCCCCGGCCGTCCCCCGCGAGATTAGGGAATCCCCGGGGGCGGGGGCTCCTGCCTCGCTGCTTCGCAGCACCACCGCCACTGCCAAGGCACTGCAGGGGGAAATTTCCTTCCTCCTGGCCCCCGCGAGAACAGGGGAATCCCGACTGGCCACACCTCCCAGCCAGCCGATTGGCTGGCTGGGGGGGCGTGGCTTGCCCTATTTAGGGCCGGAGCCACTTTATTTGCATATTCATGAGCTTATTTATTATTCATGAGCTTTCCCGGGCCCCCCCAATATTTTTTATAAGTCCGCGTCCCTGATGGAGGAGGGAAAGGACACTACCCTTTCTGTGCCACAATGAGAAAATGCATGCCTCGTGACTGCATGGGTCTCCAGGCACTAATCAGGATTCGAAGAGTACAAAGCTAGCTTCGCCAGCTAGATCTGACATGGGGAAGGAAGGCAGTGTGCATGTGTGTCTATGCACAAGAGAGTGTGTCAATTTAAGGCAGGGGTCACCATCTTTAAAGAAACCAATTAGCACGTAGGGACTTTTGAGTAAGTGTTGTGGACACTCTCTGATCACTTCTCTCCCCCTTCTAAACCCAGATCAGCTCCCCTCTCCAAAGACAGAAAGAGAGGATGCGCGCAGGATCTGGTAAAAGTCAGGTCCGGTGGAACTGTAAAGCACATAGAGCTGAAGGAGGAAGTGGGAAAGAGCGTCACTATTCCAACTTCCTTTTTTCTGCTCAATGTGTTTTCATGGCAAATGGGGCACTGGAGCTCAGAAGATTCATGGGCACCATAAAATGAACAAGGGCACTGAAACCCCAGATGTAAAGTCATCCTAAAACCTGCATAGGAAAATGAGCTCAAAGGTGATTTTTAAAAAGACACACACACACACACACACACACACACACACATACACAAGTATGTTGTGGAGCAGTTGTTACAATGCCCTAGAAAAGGATTGTTATCATCACTACCATCAGCTGCTACTGCAGGGCAGATAAAAGCTGAAACCCACATACATACCCTTCCAGACATCCACATAACATGAAAAAAATGCAAGATGGCTGATCTAAAATTGCCAAAAGCTTTCTTTCTATGGGAAGTGAAGGCAAAGGTCAGCCAGGAAAAGAGCTCTAGGGGAGAGAGAAGTAGGGGAAAACCTTAACCAGAAAGGGGTCTGCAACTTTTTCAGGCCTAGGGGCACATTTGGAAATCTAAGGAATAGGTGTGGGCACCACAAAGCACCCAATCTGCAGAAGAAAAACTGTTGGTACTCAGACTTCTCTCTCAAAGCAACAAGGAAAGCATCTAAACAGTGTTCCCCACCCACCCTTAAAAAAGAAAACACAGGTGAAAAAACAGGCACCCTCAAGGAAGTAACTTCCCCCAAAGTCCACATTTTTTAAAAAATTAAGAGGGTCAAGAATGCTTGACAGGTGTTGGGGAGAAGAGTGTTATCTAAGGGTTCTGAGATACCTCTGTGTGTCCTGCTCGGGGACCCCAGCTAAAAAAGGAAAGGAGATTTTCCTGGTTTCTTTTATCCATTCTTTTGCTTCAGAGTCCAAGAGACAGTTATGTGACAAGCCTCCTCATGCATTGGTTATTATCCAAAATGAAAGTCAGATGAAAAGGGGAGTGAATCTCTGTGGCTGAAGGCAGGCAGGGGTGGGGTTTCAGCAGGTCAAGTGGTCCCTTTTTTCTGACACTTTCCCCACGGATTCCCCTGAGGGCAGCAGAGGTTGAGGGCGACGTCCAGCATGCATTGCCCTCAGAGAAGACCCACTGACGTCTATCAGCCACTATGACTGGGTTGTGATCATCTCACTGCCAGACATGAAGAGTTAGCATCCCATTACAGTCGTTTGGTGGCTGGATTTGCACTCTAGCCTGGACAGCATGTCTGCAAACAGCAGGGATGCCAACAGGTAAGAGGTCAGTGCTTCCTTTAGAAAGGAAATCTGAACTGTCTCCAACACCTGGACTAATAATAGGCTGAGGGTTACTTTGGCTCCGCATAGAATTGCTTCTGCAAAGCTAAGACTTAGTGCTATTACCTCTGTAAGGCTGCTAGAAGGAGCTACCTACGGGACAGCATTTCTGTGTCTTCTGTGTAAAATGGTTATAGAGGACACTGTTCACTATGTTACTCAGCATCCTCTAGACCAGGGATGTCCAGGTCTATCCCCGGGTGATAGCGGTAGATCGCGGTCGATCGCTAGTTCATTTCTGTTTTCTTGAGAAGAGTAGCTGTAAAATGAATGTATCCAGCCCTGCCCCCTCACTGTTTCCTTCAGTCGTGCAGGATCACTAAACCAGAATTCAGATACAGATAGGTAGCCGTGTTGGTCTGCCATAGTCAAAACAAAGAAAATTCCTTTCCATTGGTCTTTAAGGTGCTACTGGAAGGAATTTTCTTTGTCCAGAATTCAGAGTTAGCACTGCCCAGCTTTTGTTAGGGTGAGCGTTTTTCGGCGTTTCCGCCTTAAAATAATCACCTCTGCTTTGTGCCCTCCCCCAAATGATCTCAACACCAACCTTGCCCCCTAAGAAAAGCTCAACAACTTTGACCTGAACTCCTAAAAAAAGCTCAATTTTGACCCAAACCCCTAAAATGACTTAGATCCCTGCCACTTTTTTGTGCTGGAGGTAGATCGCAGTCTCTTGGGAGTTGGACGTCCCTGCTCTAGACAAATATCCTCATGTAAAGTACCTGTCTGAGTTTAACCACAATGTTATTATTATTTTTTACATCAAGTGAGTTTGTGTGCTTTTCGCTGTGGGACAAGGAAAATCGGCCAGCGTGGCAAAGCGGTTAGAGAAGAGTTTCCCAAACTTGGGTCTCCAACTGTTTCTTGACTACCATCAACCCCGACCACTGGTCCTGTTAGCTAGGAACGATGGAAGTTGTAGTCCAAAAACAGCTGGAGACCCGTTGGGGAAACCCTGGGTTAAAGTGTCAGACAATGACCTTGGAGACCAGGGTTCAAGTGCTCACTAGGCCATAAAGTTCACTGGGTGACCTTGGGCCAATCACTGCCTCTCAGCCAAACCTACTTCACAGGGTTGTTGTGGGGATTAAATGAGATGGGAAAGGACCATACACATATATGTCACTTTGAGCTCCTTGGAGAAAAAGGTGGGATCTGATGCAATCAATCAATCAATCAATCAATCAAATTCTGTTACCTTGTGTGCCTCTCTATTTGCATTGGCTGCTAGGAAATTCAGAGCCAACTATGTGGCTCATCTCTGAAAGTCTCTAGTATGGCTTATATAGGAACAAATAAAATGTTTAGTATTACTGATGAGCAATTTTAAGGCTACTGATTTCAATGGGTCTACTCTAAGTATGACTTAACTGGACATCACCCTGAGAGACAGTGCCCCCAATTGCGTTAATCCAATGGCTTAAGAGTGTCAATATCAGGGCACAAACCTGGCCTGTCTGACCACAGTCCGTGATCTTCCACATCCGGCGACTAAAACGAGCCAGCTTGAGGGCACGGGGTTAAAAAGCCGATCAAGCACACAGTCAAAATTCCAGTTTGGGAACGCGACCCTCACAGAGGCATTTCCGAGGAATGTTGGGAGTGAACAAGACGACAGGTGTTGGGAGTCAGGCCTGGAAAAGCTTCTGGCAGGAATCAGCGGTAGAGACAAGGTATAAAGATTCGGGGTTTCCCGACCACGAGGGATCCATGGGTCATGTCATTCCAGGGCCCACTCGGCCAGCCACTGCTCACATTTCCCTCGCTGCTCCTGCTCCAACTCCTCCACCTCAGGGCTCTTGGCTTCCTGCGGAGCCTCAGGGCTTGGGCTTCCAAACAGATTCCCCTGACGGCCTTCCTCCGCCAGGACACTCTGGTCCTTCAGTTCTTGGATCAGCTCCTCCAGCTGGTGCGTGGCACGCCGAGGGGCCCAGTTGCTGTCCACGGTGGGGACGAAAGGGTCAGGCGCGATCACCTCAATAAGCTCCTTGCTGGTCGGGATGCGCAAGTAGTAGGCGTGGAGCATCATGCGGTAAGGGCCACTGTCCTTCTTGAAACTGTACGTGAAGTCGCCCACCACCGGGTGCCCAATGGCGCTGCAGTGGACACGGAGCTGGTGGGTTCTTCCTGAGGAGGGGCGGAAAGGACAATGCCAAATTTTTTTTAGGACAGAGACCCTTTCGGCTATCAGCCCACCCTCCTACAAGGACAGGGAGACACAGGTCGCTTCCATGAGACATGTAAAATGTTTCATCCAATTCTGGCGGTGACGTTTCACCAACAAACCCTTTGCACATCCACCATTAGGAAGCTGCCTTATGCTGAGTCAGACCAATCAGTCCATGCTCAGTATTCCCTGCACGGACTGGCAGCAGCTTCTGAAAACGATACTGTTTTAGACAGGCCTTTGTAACATGAATTCTCTCTCTTTTTTAAAACCAATCAGTACTTATTGATGTCTTAACAAAGCTTTTCTGCTGTTTTTATTCTAATAAGTTGTACTCCGCCTTGAATTTTCTTTTCTGAAAGTGCAGAAATGTGTATTATATCGAAACACTTTTGGCCTTTAGCTTAAAAATGTATAAATTACTTCCTTTGGTCTTCCAGACTGCTGTTTCTTCACCTTATCTATTTTTGTGTATTTTTTATGTATGTCAACAAGCAGCACAAGGACTAAGTTCACATTCAAGATTTGTTATGCATGCCACATTTGTTATTATATACTTCTTGTTTGTATGAAAAAACTTCAATAAAAATCAATTAGATATACAAGTAAATAAACTTTTCTGAGGCACAGATGAGTGGAGAACTGGCCTTGCTGAACTGGCCTGACTTGACAGCCTGGAAACAGAAGCACACATTGCATTGTGGCAAAGGCCATTCCAGTGCCGGTGCAATGAAGGAGCAGGAGTCCTTTTACCTGTGAGGGGCTGCAGAAGCACTTTCGTCGCTGGATCACCACTGTAAAGGCCATGTTCAAGCACTGTTAGCTCCGACTGGCAAGGTTTGGGGTTTTCACAACCTGTTAGAAATGTTGGAATTAACGAGTTAAAAGCAAAGTCAGTTTTCAAAACATCTGCAAAGCTCAAAGTTTTCTGACAACGCAATGCCTCAGTGCTACAATGAAAATGACAAAGGGGGCATGAAAGGGGGGTGGCAGCCCTACCCTCCGTCCCTTCAATGCACATCATGTGTGTCAAGCCTTCTGTCGTGTTCTTCCCGATGGCGTAGTGGATCGTCATCCTCGCCTCTTGGATGTGGCCCCTCACCTGCCAAGCAGAGGATGCATTTTGTCACAACACCCTGAGTCTTAACATGAAAAAACCTCAAACCTCAGTTTCCCAACTGTAAAATGGGAACGGGTCGATATCACTTGCAAAGCCATATACCTGCAGAACTGCTGTACAGGGACATCTTAACTTCCCTTACTTTAAATCAGGGTTGGGGAACCTAGGGCCCTCCAGGTGTCGCTGGACTACAAAGCGTGTCATCATCCCTCGCCACTGACTATGCTAGCTGCTGGGGCTGTTGGGAGTTGGAGTCCAAGAACATCTGGAGGGCCACAAGTTTCCCCCACCCTCATCCTCGCTTCAGACACTTACCTGAAGTAAGTTCCTCTAAACCTGTCTTCCTCAACCTGGTGCCTCCCAGATGTTTTGGAGTACAACTCCCAGCAGCACTGTTGGGAGTTGTAGTCCAGGGACATCCAACTCCCAAGAGACTGTGATCTACTCCCAGGGGGGGGGGGGACTGGCAGTGATCTACCCATTGGGGGGGGTAGTTCAGAGTTGTTGAGCTTTTTTTAGGGAAGCAGGTCAAAGTTGTTGAGCTTTGGGACACCCCTGTTGTAGTCCGTACAGAGATAGGTGAGAATTCGTCTAGTATGTGAATTCAATGTGAATCAATTTGTAATTCCCAGGCCAGAACATGAACATAGAGCTGCTTTTCGGAATTTGCACTTTTGCAAATTCTGGAATGCAGTTCTCCAAGCCAAAAAAAAAAAAAAGGCTATCAGGGAATCATGGGCGCAAAAATGCATACATTAAAACAAACTTGCTTGCAAAGATGTGTTTTACTGGGAGATTAAAAAAATCACACTGTGATGTGCATGTAAGGTTTTCAGGATGACTTGTTTAAAAAGAAGTTTGCAAACTGATGCAGAAATGGGGCAAACGGAACATGAGACTGCGAAAGTGAGAAATGCAGAGAACTGGCAGACTTGCCCAGCTCTTCAATCCCAAAGCCAAGAGGGCACCAGACTCTTGGTTTTGGAGGAGATGTAACACTGCCGGGGGAAGGCACATCTTTTTCCTTTGAAGATCCATGCTCTCAGCAAATAAGCTTTTTCCCATTCCAGACTGCGCGGATCAGCATGGTTTCCCCGTGACCAGGCTGCGTTAAGCCCTTCCCATCCACAGAAGCTGAGAGACACATAATCCGCTTGGCCCGGGAGGATTTCATCTGCAGCAGATTAGCTCTGCTTCCTGAATGGATTCAGCATCTGCAGATTCTTTGTGCCACCCTTTTTGTCTCTCATGTTTAACAAAAAGCCACGGCAAGCTTTGGTGACATCCACATCATACATTTAAAACCACATTTAAACACACATGGAAGGCACCTAGCTTTCTCCCCACCCCCAAAGAGTCTTGTGAACTGTAATTTGCTGAGGGTGCTCGGAATTGTGGCTCTGTGAGGGGGACATGAACACGAAATTTATTACGGTCAGAGACCAGCTTGTGAAACACAAATGGAACTACAATCCCAATAGCAAAACAAACATTGAAAACAATATGCAACAATGGATTTTAAGTTTAAAAATGCCATAGGGGTAAACCACAGCTCCCAGGATTCTTTGAGGGGAAGCCGTATGCTTTAAATGCACAGCATGTGTACAGGCCTGTCCTAATTTCAGGTGTGCAGAATTCCGCTTGGAATCCCAGGTGTGAGCCACAGGTTATCTGATGCAGGGGAGTAAGAAGGGGAGGTCAAATATGTCACAGGGGTAGGAAAAACACACATAATGTGCTTCCACATGCTCTGCACTGTGGCTTTTTCATCCTGTGGCTACATCATGCATCCACGTCAGATGTTTAACATAGCCAGAGGCGGGCATGGCATAACGGTGAGAGCCGATGGTGACAGTATGTGTAATGCAGTGAACTCACTTCATGGCCTAAGACATCTCAATCTCACTGCACCCTTTTATGCAATATGGAGATAATAATTCCTTCCTACCTTACAGGGTAGTTGTCACACAAAAAAACTATATTATACATTGTATAAATGCTGTTAATAATAATGTATTATATTATCATTATTCCAGCTAACGAAAATCCCAGGAAGTTTCTCAGGACAGGGAGAGGCAGGGAATAGAAAGCTTTAGATCAGCAGCGGGGAACAAGATCCGAGGATAGGAACAGGAAAAAGCATCACAGACTGTATCATTTTCTTTAGGGAAGTGGTAATGCTCCTCTGAAAGATGTTGGGTACTCGGGTGGCACTGTGGGTTAAACCACAGAGCCTAGGACTTGCCGATCAGAAGGTCGGCGGTTCAAATCCCCGCGACGGGGTGAGCTCCCGTTGCTCGGTCCCTGCTCCTGCAAGTCAAAAGCACATCAAAGTGCAAGTAGATAAATAGGTACCGCTCCAGTGGGAAGGTAAACGGTGTTTCCGTGCGCTGCTCTGGTTCACCAGAAGCGGCTTAGTCATGCTGGCCACATGACCCGGAAGCTGTACGCCGGCTCCCTTGGCCAATAAAGTGAGATGAGCGCCGCAACCCCAGAGTCAGTCACGACTGGACCTAATGGTCAGGGTTCCCTTTACCTTTACCTAATGCACCTCTGAAAGATGTTGGGTAGTCAACCCAGAAATACAAAATTACCTAGGTGACAAACAGCCTCAAAACTGGCATACACACACACACACACATATGTATACACACACACACACACACACACACACACACCCTGAGTCCTCTTTGTCCTCTTTGACATGCAAGGATTCTCTCTTCCTAGCTGCGACCAGTTGCAAAACCAACCTCATTTCCTGGCAATCTGCTACTCACTTCTACTTAATGCCTTTTTTTAATCTTTCCCTTTTAAAGAAGTAATGTTTAAGTCACAGGCAGCCGGTCGCTAGACACCCATCCTACAGATGGCTGGGCTCGCCTTGCCTCGCGTGTCAGTGGGACACCCAAAAGGGATCAAGATAAAAATATGAACGCCAGCTGACGTCTGACGCCCTACTGGCTTTCCGGGTCTGTTTCAACAGTGGTGGCCAAAAACACAAGCCGTTTTTGTGGCTGGGGGAAAAAATGTTAAAAGTGCTCATTGAAAATCTTTTTCACCTCCTGTGGAAAAGTTTGGATTTGTGGGAAGATGGGTGAATCATAGCAGATCCTGTAGATCATCTTTTAGAGTAGCAGCACCCATACTTTGGAACAGCAGATTCCCTGCCTCCACTATCCTAGAGCCCCAACCAGCAAGAAAGGGGAGTTTTTTTAGCTGCTAAGAAGTCTTCTCATGCTTTGTGCTGACCAGAGCCAATCAGAGTGAAAGAAGGCAAGTCAGCCATTAAGGGTTGACCCCTAGGGTAACTCTGGAGAAGGTGCGCAGGAAGAGTTGTTCAGTATGCTCCAAAGCTAAGCATTTAGGAATACCGAAAGCACAAGGTGCTCTGAGACCATATTTCACTGGTCCTGAAAGAGCTACATTGGCTCCCAGTACATTTCTGAGCACAATTCAAAGTGTTGGTGCTGACCTTTAAAGCCCTAAACGGCCTCGGCCCAGTATACCTAAAGGAGCGTCTCCACCTCCATCATTCTACCCAGACACTGAGGTCCAGCTCCAAGGGCCTTCTGGAGGTTCCCTCACTGCAGGAAGCAAAGCTACAGGGAACCAGGCAGAGGGCCTTCTCGGTAGTGGCGCCCACCCTGTGGAACGTCCTCCCACCAGATGTCAAAGAGAAAAACAACTACCAGACTTTTAGAAGACATCTGAAGGCAGCCTTGTTGAGGGAAGTTTTTAATGTCTGATGTTTTATTGTGTTTTTAATATTCTGTTGGGAGCCACCTAGAGTGGCTGAGGAAACCCAGTCAGATGGGCGGGGTATAAATAATAAATTATTATTGTTATTCGAGAGAATGATGTGCAAATTCTGTTACATACAATGGAACTTCAAGGAAGACACAACTTCAGTCACTCTGGAAGACTGTATTGGAGCACTCCAAATCATTTGCCTCTATATGTGCGCAGAAAATAGTAACCTAGCTGGAAGGCAGTGTATCCTTAACTTTTATTGTATTTTTCTAAGATTACTGCATAATCATAGAAGGGTATGACCGTCATGAAGGGACCTTGCACTTCTGAATTTGCAGAGCAGCAATATTGACAGGGGGCCACAGAGTCAGCCAGCCCTGGCCTTCATAAAGTGCAGCATCCAGAACGGGACACAGCCTTTCATCTGATTCATAGCTAGAAGGGAACTTGACAAACAGGGTGGCTCACCAGCGCAAGGTAGGCCTTGGTCACCATCCGTTCCTTGAAGCATTTGTAAGCACTTCCAGCAGCTGCCTTGTTGAGCGCCACGCAAAGGGCCCCGCTGGTGGAGAAATCCAGCTGGTGGCAAAACCTGGAAGATCACAAGATTTATCTATTATTAACAGCCTGAAAGGTTCAGTCTGCCATCTTGATTCAAAATGGCTTCCAACAGTATCCAAGTACAAATGAAAAGATTATCCTTGACCTAATTGATTTGGTTACAATGTCTTAAGAGGTATATAAATCACAGTGAACAAGCAAACAACTTTTCAAAGTATGTAGCAGAAGTAAAACAATTCCAAACAAAGGTTCTGTGAACTTTGGAAAATCTGGCCTTGACCTCAAATCACTTTAAAAAACAAACACCTTCCTCATTTACACTAAAATGCACTTTGCACTTGTCATCTTGGGTTTTCCACAAAATTTAGAACTGAAATTAGGCTTGCATAGAACGATTTGAATCTGGAAGTCGCCAGTTTGCATTGCTCTGGAGAGCAATCTAATGTAACAAGTTTATTTTAATTGCATTTAGTAAGCAAAGCAAAAAAACGCTGAAAACTGACAGGCTTACCTAGTACAGTTTTTGCAATCAGCATCCATTTATTGCTCTAGAAAATTTCCAGCTCACATTACTGTCGCCATCACACTAGCCATATCATACCCATTTTACAGAGGAGGTCTGTGCCTGGGTGCTAAGAGGTCGTTGCCTGTAGTTTATAGGTCTATAAATTTATGGGTTTCAGCAATTGCAAGGGTCCATACATTTTTGTACCATAATGCAGGAGTCAGTGCTTGTAAAGTTTCCCATTTCTGTGCTATATAACCTGGCAGCTGCTAATAACCAAGTTCATAAATTGTTTGACTAAAACTGTTTCATACTATTATCCCACACATTAAGTAAACAAAACAAAAAAAATTCCTTCCAGTAGCACCTTAAAGACCAACTAAGTTAGTTCTTCGTATGAGCTTTCGTGTGCATGCACACTTCTTCAGATACACAAGTGTGCATGCACACGAAAGCTCATACCAAGAACTAACTTAGTTGGTCTTTAAGGTGCTACTGGAAGGAATTTTTTTTGTTTTGACTATGGCAGACCAACACGGCTACCTATCTGTAATTAAGTAAACAGAGAGCCTTCTTACAAACTACTCACCGGAAGCCATAGTATGTGTCTGGGTCCGCAAGCTCAGGGAACCGATATTTCAACTGGCTCTGCAGGGTGAGCTTTTCATACCACATTTTGCTGTCAATGCGGACGTCCCAGTGTTTGTTAACCACAATGAAGTCCGCACTTTGGTACAGAATGGACAAGTTATCGATGCTCACAGGCTCCATAGCGATGGACCCTTAGAGAGGGAAAGAGAGGTGCAGTTCTGAGTTTCTGATCCAAAAATTGCTCTTCCCTTCTGACCTAGATTTGGGAAAGTTGTTCAGTGTAATTCTGTCGGAGAGGCAAATCACTCTGTGCATGCTCATCAACACTGGTTAATGCATTAATGGACACTTGCTGAGAACTAAAGCCCAGGTATGGATGAAGCCCTAAAGACAAATGTCAGGTGTGCTTAAGAAATTGCAATAAATCAATCTGTCAATTGTATCAAATGCTGAGGAAAAGTCTAAAGGTTAGGGCAGAGATGACTGCTTTTTGGCTGGATATGCCAGAGGACTGCTTGCCTAGACTCTGCCTGGAGGAACAATGGAAGAAGGGTGGTTGGGCCAAGTTAGTACAAGACCTGCCAGCCTCAAAAAAACCTGACAACAGATTTTATATTCCCTGGAGTGAAAAGACTGCTCAGGGATTGGGTTTATGAACAGGCTAACGGGCAAGATTTATCTCTAATCCATATCTCAAAATTCTCCCATTGGTACTATTTGCTGAAATCTCACCACACCAGAGCTCAATACTTGCAGTCACTTACCTTTGCCTCCCTGAAAACTGCCTTTACAGCTCTCCGTTTTCAAACAATGCCTACGCCAGTCTTAGATGGGAGATACAGAAATGTTCCAAGGCATTTAAGACTTTGTATTTGTGGGGTAGGTGAGGCAGATCTCCCCCATTATATACTCCATTGTCAACTCTATCAAAACCTCAGAAAGAGATTTTTTGGAGCAGATGCTGCCACCGCCAAAGGGACAGAACCCTGAAGTGAAAATATGTTAGCTTTTATTTGACTGTGATCCGCTTGTCACATATAAAACAGCCTTATTTGCAGAAGCCGCTAAAAACATTCATGCTAACTATATAAAAGACAATGCTGTAGACTGTGAAGGCGATTCATTAATTTGACTTATTGTAAGTGGGTGCATATCTATGGATTTCTTTTAACAGGTTTTAATTGACTTGCTGGGTTTGTAATTGAATTTGTAATGACTTTTAGTCAAACACAGTAAATGACTGATTGATTGATTGATTGATTGATTGAAGAAATGAATGAATCTTTTAGTATGGTATTACGCAAACTTTGGAACTCACTATGTATTGACATCACTTGACTCTTTTTGGCGCCTGCTTAAAGTATTTTGTTTAGGTAAGCCCAGACATGTAGAACATTGGCATGTTTTAATCTGGTTCTCAGCTTCTCGTTGATTTTAAAAATAATAAGGTTTTAAATAGTAACAAGTGATTTCACTGATAATTTCATTATTTCTTTTTGGAAACCACTTTGAGGTTTGTTTGTTTTACAATGAAGCAGTATATGAATTTTAATGAATAAATAGATACGTATTTGCTGCTTTTGCATCTTGTTATGCTGCTTTCTGGAATGACTGCTGGGGAGGGTACTATTGCATTCTCCTGCGGAGGTAAAATTGTGACCCCTTAATAAAAAAAGATAACTATCCAACAATAAGCCGCTGTTTTCATATAGCTTAAAACACACACCTAGAGCAAGAGAGGCCTCAGAGCTATCCACATTGAGCACCTGTGCAACAGACTGTGCAGGCACACAGCTCACCTGGTTGGATTTTTTCTTGCTATTGTGAAATGTATTCTATTTAAAAAGGTTATTTCAAATTGTGCATGTGGAAATTATTATTTTTTAAAATAGATGTGGTGATGTACAAAGCTTTCAGGCTTCCGACTGGGGCATCCACTTGGCTACTACGAGTACGGGATGCTGTATTAGATGTGCCAGTGGCTTGATCCAGGAGGCTCTTGTGTTCTTAAATGGCTACCCTATTTGACTCTTGACAAAACTCGCAGACAGGAGAGTCTGGAAAGAGAGGGAGGGAGCACCGAGCCTCCAAATCTTGCTTTTCCCCCCATTATGCTCGCTTTACATTTATTTTAACAGACTTGCCCTAAACCCGTTTTGAGACAGATGAGGCTGTTTGGCTGTCAAGAAAGAGAAGCCCCTCAAAGAAGCGCTTCTTTTGAGGTAGAGGCTGCTCACCCCTTCCCCACCGCCATCGTCACGACATCGGCGGCTACCAAATCCTTTGGATAAAGGGACAGAAAAACAACATGCACCCTTCCCACCCCAAAGACGCCCACGCTGCACTGGGAGGCTTGCAAAAATTACTGCGCCTCCAGCGCCCTTCGTATGCATCCCGTGCATGCAGACATGCAGACGCGCGTGCACGCATCCCTGCCGGCCCCACTCCGCAAGGAGTGCACCGAGCCGGGCGGATCGATCGACCGACCTGCAACTTTGCGCAAGGCGCTAGCAGAGGGCTGGTGCGCCATGCAAAGCCGCGCACGGCGGCGCTACATTGCAGCCAGCAGGCCCGGGCAGTGCAGCAGCCGCCGAGCAGCGCGTGGAGGAGACCCGCCGGCCAATCAGCGCCTTCCGCCGCATGGAACGTTCACCCGGAACTGAAACAGCGCGCGCGCTGGTTTGCAAAAAGGAAAAGTCAGCTGGGCTGTTGCAGGTACTGTACTGTTTGCAGATACAAAGCGGTTTTGCTTTTTTTCTTGCAGGGGGTTGCTTTTTTGTTGCATACCACCAAGCAACAAAGCGAGAGAGTTTGTGGAACTGAGCTTTTTAAATAAATATTTTCCTTTTCCTTTTTCTTTTTTTGTCCGCCTCGCAAAGGAGGGAGGAGATCTTGCATATGGAAGAAGATGAGCACGAGCTGTATGGCATTGAAGATGAATTTGAGGAGCAGTTTGCGGACGAGCTGGAGGCGCTGGCTGAGCTGCAAGGTGGGGGTTGATGGGCTTCTCTTGGCGGTCAGAGAATTTTGGGCTTGAAAAGGAGAGGCCAAAATGAGGGAGGGGCGGGTCTGTGGCTTTTTTGCAGCAACAGCAGCAAGACCTCCTGTTGCATTTACCGAACATAAGTATAACCAAGAGTAAAAACAATCCAAAATGCTCACCAGTAGTATGTATTAAAGAACTCCACCAGCATACTTGGGGGACAGGTCCTGGCCCTGAGGAGGTTCCAGTCTAAAATTCAGCAGAAAGGGAAAGGCAGACCTGTCCCCAGTTACCAATTCTATACTGTACATGTCCACTTAGAAGTAAATCACATTTGATTCAGTGGGGCTTACATCAGCTCTGTTCTTGAACCCCATCATTACATCAGCAAAATAGTTTATAGATCTGCATAAACAAATAAACAGCAAAGCTCCAAGCACTGTTCATAATAAAATAGTGGTTAAAAGGCAACTAAAATCCAGGGAACTTAAAAAAAAACACCATAAAATCAGTGAAAACTTATTGAAACAGATTTCTAAAACAATGTGCAGGTGCAGCCCTACTAAAAGGCAGACTTCTTGTAAAATTGGAACAGATATTTTCTGACATTTCTAAAAATGCAAGTTCTGCAGATCAAAGCAGTCAAAGTGGTGCAGTCAATCTCAAGTATGGGCAACTCAACCTATAATGGACTTTATATGCAAATAGTAAAACCTTGAACTTGGCCCAGTAGCAAATTGTCTGCCAGTGCAGATCTTTGAGCATCGTCTTCTTTGACGATCACACATGGCAGAGAAAGATTGTCTTTCATGAACATGGTCTTAACGAGTCCTTAAGTGACAGTGGAGGCCAATTCTGGATCCACACGTCCTTCTGCAGTGGGGCATAGGTTTCCGCGCGGGAGTTGATTACGGTGAGGATTTGTCAAACATGCCTTCCTCTCGGCACGTTTCTCCCTTTCGTCCTGAGTTTGAGTCTTCAAGGTCCATGACACCTTTGGTAAAGGCTGTTCTCCAATTGGAACACTTGCAGGCCAGTGTTTCCCTGTTGTTGGTGTTTGTACTACATTTTTTTGGATTTGCCTTGAGAGAGTCTTTAAACCTCTTTTGTTGATCGGCATCACACTTTCCATTTTTAAGTTCAGAATAGAGTACAGTGGACCCTCTGGATACGAACTTAATTCGTTCCGGGGGTCCGTCTGCAACCTGAAAAGTCTGTATCTGGAGGCGTCGCTTCTGCACACACGTGTGGCGTGATAGAGTGCTTCTGCACATGCGCGTGAGGCAAAACCCAGAAGTATACACTTCCGGGGTTTCCACGTTCGCAACCCGAAGTTTATGTATCCGGAGGGATACTTAAGTAGAGGTACGACTAGTTGCCTTGGAAGACAATAATCATGCATCTGAACAACATGACCAGTCCAACGAAGTTGATGTTGAAGAATAATTGTGTTACCAATACTTGAACTACTGTAGTCAAGCTATAACGGTTACAGCTATTGCTACCAGGTTTGGTACAGTTAATAGCAAATTTTATAGCAGCCCTTTTTTAGCAGAGTTCATCTCTAAATTACCTCACAGAGCTGGTATGGGACCCCACTGTAAGCCCTAATGGATCGTTAGATAATCTGACCTATTTCTCTTTTTTAAAAAAGAAAAGTTCTGCAGCGCTACCAGGTATGGCCAACGTCATGCTCTCTGTGGTTTTTAACTCCTTTCTTTCAGAAGAAGCACATCCGGCACCCTCCCATAAAGTGTCCGAGTTCCGAAGCAGAAAGCGTACGTTTGAAGAGGCCCTCGCTGCTGGGGATTTGGTTAAGGGCTCCAGTCCTGTAGCTAGCCAGCCATGCATGGGAAAGGCTTCTCAAGGCCAGGTCCTCTCTGAGGAGCCCGTCAACCATCTTGGTCTGAAGTCTGGGAAGCGAGAATGCCTTGCAGCGGAGCCAGAAATCTCTCCAAGTCAGCTTCTCCAGGAGACTTCTGCTACTCATAGTAGGTTTTGCTGTGTGCTGTGAGTTTTTCATGCAAGTAGTGCTAATGTGCTTGATACCAGCTTGGCAGGAGGACGTCTTATTTATATCCTGCTTTTCTTCTGCAGGACTCAAAGCAGCATAGTGTTTTGTTAGTCCTCCACTGTATCCTCACAAGCCTGTGACGTAGGCCAAGCCGAGGGACAATTACTGGCCCAAGACCATTCCATGGTTGAGTGGGGGATTTGAGCCTGTGTCTATCTACCTGATCCTAGTCCAACACTAACCACTATACACACTGTCCCTATAATGTGTGGGGACGATAGGGTCTTTTATAGGGCCATCTGTCAGGGACTCTTCAGCTGTGGTTCCTGCATTGCAGCGGGTTGGATTAGATGGCCGTAGGGGTCCCTTCGTACTCTACAATTCTATGAGATCTTCTGGCATGTCAGTTTTCTTCCGGCTGCGGCATGCTATCCCTCTGAAGACCAATAGCCCACATTGTTGTAATAGCTGTTCACCTCATTGGGTCTGACAGCTCCAAAGCCAAAGCGCCAACGGAGATTCGAAGTCGTGAAGAAGCTGGATTTTGGGACAGAGGAAGAGCGAGCCATTAAAGAGCCACTTCAGAATGGAGCATCTCTCCCTTGTCCTCCAGGTGCCAGTTCTGAACTGCAGGATGAAAGGTGAGCATTCTGTCGGGAAGGGGGGAGAGCGTTGTTGACTCAGTATGTTGCCCTCATTGCACAGTTTTCAAAATCTCAGTTAGCCCTGCTGAAGTAATTGAGGAGCCTTCTCCAACCACCTGGTGCCCTCCAGATATTTTTGTCTAAAATTCCCATCAGCCCCAGCCAGCACAGCCAGTGGCCGGACATTATGGAAGTTGTAGTTCGACAGGTATGGAGGGCACCAGGTCCTTGATTAAATAGTAGGGTGGGTTTTTTGTTTTAGTTTTTTGTTTAGCTTTTATCAAGTGCCTAAAACCAGGCACTGTATGAAATATGCAGCATGACATGGGGTTGGTGGCTTAGCTGGCTCCTTGGTGATTTGCAGACTGTAACGTTGGTTCTTCCTATGATCATGGTTACCATCAGGTTATGACACAAGGATCTCAGGATGATGTAACAACGATACAATACGGTAATCTTTATTGTCATTGACCCATACAGAACAACGAAATTGAAAAAATCTACATCAGACATTCAAAAACCAACAAGCCTGCTATCCCAGCCTGGTTAACCCCCCTAAAAACTCTGATACCCCATAATTAAATACAATATACTCCCATAGAGACTACCTTACACTGCATTTAAAACCAAAATCGCATTTGGATAGAAACTGTTTCTCAGGCAGCTAGTCCTAGTCTTTATAACCAGAAGGCAGAAGCTGAAAGAGATCATTTCCGGGGTGCGCACTATCCTGCACTATCTCTGTAGCTTTCTTATAAACATTTGCCAAGCTGATTTGGGTAGTCCCAGCAACATACAGGCTCCCCAGCTTGTCATCCTCCAGGTGGGGCCCTGAGGGGTGGGGGTTAAGGTCTCAGTTAAAAGAGAATAAAGCCTTTTACCAAAACGCCTAAGAGAGCAGGGTTCAAGGTGCATCATAATCTCAACAAGCCCAATGTGTAAAGCACAGAGAATCAGTCTGGGTCCTAAACATTATGCAGAAACGTAGTCAGGAAACAACCTCAGGTCAATATCATAGGTAGTTCAGCAAGGAGGAGAGACCAGTATTGTTTCCAGCAACAGAAAGGTTAAAGATGGAGGCTTTATATATGCCAGCCTCCTAGACCACACCGTAGCCTCAGCTGCCAGCAGTGAAGGAGTGTCAGGGATTGTTTATGCACGAGTAGACCAACTCTGAATCCATAGACATAGGCTATATTGTCACTGACCCGGACCCAAAGCTCTTGATGCCAGCACTTCTTGAGAAATGGGTTGCTTCTCCACCTTCTCCTCTGACAGTTTCAGGGGTCTTCACCCAGAGGGATCTTCAATGGGATCCTTGACATTGGATTCAGAGGCACTGCCTGCTCCTCAAGGTCTTGTAGGACTTTGAGGTCCTCAACTCTGAGGACTTCATGTCTGGTGCCAGGTCAGCATTAGGCATAACGCAACCCTGGAACACAGTAAAGTTTCAAACAAGTCTAGTGCTTGTACTTGTTCCCCAAAATCTGTTCCGACGTCATGTTTTGAAGGATGGTGTTGAATCCTCAGGGGAACTGGGTTTGCGTCTCCGCTCCTCCACATGCAGCTGCTGGGTGACCTTGGGCCAGTCACACTTCTCTGAAGTCTCTCAGCCCCACTCACCTCACAGAGTGTTTGTTGTAGGGGAGGAGGGGAAAGGAGATTGTTAGCCGCTTTGAGACTCCTTCGGGTAGTGATAAAGCGGGATATCAAATCCAAACTCTTCTTCTTCTCTGATGATTCTTCTCCTTGTGTTTCCTGGACCTCAAAGGACTCACCTCGAAGCACTTGGGATCCCAGATGGCACGGGGGTGAGCGGCATGTTCCCACTGCATGTTACACCACCAGAAGAAAAATACAGCAGGAAGGTCCTCAAGCGACCGCCCATCCTGGGGGACTATATCAACGTGACCTCCACTGACGGCACCCGAGTCTTCATGGTTGTGAAGGATGATGGGATGGGAACGCAGGTACCAGCAGGACCAAGAAGCAGAGCTCTTCTACAGCTCGCTACATCCACCCTCTTCCTTTCACTGCTGAAGCTCAGGGGGAGGTGGGCAGCCTTCTATCCTCCTGATGAGACTGACACTTAATTTGCATTAAAATCTGTTCTACTTTCTGCAGCTCTCCAGCTCGGTTGGGTGGAACAGAGAGAGACCGCTTCAGCTATTGGGTGTCCCATTCTCCTACGTAAAGGAACAAGTTACTGAAGAGGTATTGTCCTTTTGTGGTTTCAGATCCTTAGTTTGTTCTGTTCCTGATAACTGTTGTTACCCAGTCCAGATGCAACAAGAAACTATGGTTAATTAAACCTTCAGTCGCGGTGCAACAAAAAGGGGAAGGGAAGTGCACGAGACCTGTGTGCATGTCAGTTTAATATGCTGAGATTTGTACCCAAACTGGGACTTTTGACCTTTCCTGGTAGACGCATGCATCAGCCAAACCCCTTTTGAGCAAACCACAGTGGAGTGGAGCATGAGACAACACTTTGCTCCTGATAGCCCGCTCAAAATGGGATGTAGAACAGCAATGAAGAACCTGTGGCTTTCCCTATGTCGTTGGTCTCCAGCTCCCAGAATGGCCCAGGATGATGGAAGTTGTAGTCCCACCGCATCCAGAGGGCCACAGGTTCCATGCTCCTGACATACAGAATAGCTTCGTCCAGTTCAGATTTTGCTTTTAAATGAAGACGCACCTTAAAAGCGAACGATGAAATGCCTGTCATGCAACACAACCACACACTCATCATCCTCCACTACGTGAATGTTTTTGCTGTTAGTTTTTATGTTCTCCTTTTCATTCCAGCGCCGGAGACAGATCCGTGAGTCTTCACAGAAGCTGACGGAGGTTCTGAACAGGTGGGCTTGGTGGTTCTTCCTCCTAAAGGCTTTTCTAGGGTAATAGGAAGCTGAATTATCCCGAGTCATGCCATTGCTTGAAATGGGTCGGTATTACCTATAACAAAGGTGGGAAGCATTTTTATTTATTTCTTTGCTTCAAGGACCACATTAGCTGGTAGGCAACATTCTGAGGACTGCTGTCCAGTGATGGGTGAGACCAGAGACAAAGTAGGTGGAGCAGTGATGGTGAGACCTTTGTACAGTAGCCTATATTGGAGCTGCGCAGAAGTGTTTGAGGTTTCTGTACACCCTCTCACATCTTGTGGTCCTCTATCCAGGCCGGCAAGAGCTCAAGGACATATCACAGCCAGGCCAGAGTACTTGAAGAGGGGATGGAGGATAGGACTTGCAAATGAGTGTGGCCCAGGGAGAGTCCAAGGGCCAGATAAAGCCCTGGAGGGCCATATTCCCCCAGGTTGTCTATTCTGACTGACAGTGGCTTTCACACACAACCTGGGACTTTCTACCACTCAACTAGAGCCCTTTCTCTCTTTCTCCTGGATTGGCAAATTCAGCCTTGGACAGCTATAAATACACAGGCAGAGACATATAAGTTTGCTTGGATTCAGAACAGATAAAAAAAGGTTTTTCCTCATTCAGCACAGAGTTAAACTATGGAAGTCGCTTGCACAGGAAGCAGTGATGGCCACCAACTTGGATGGCTTTAAAAGAAAATTGGACAAATTATTGGAGGATAAGGCTTTTGAGGGCTACTGGCCATGGTGGTTAGGCCAGAGGAAGGCAAACTAAGGCCTGGGAGCCGGATGCAGCCCAGTCGCCTTCTCAATCCGGCCCGCAGACGGTCCGGGAATCAGCGTGCTTTTACATGAGTAGAATGTGTGCTTTATTTAAAATGCATCTCTGGGTTATTTGTGGGGCATAGGAATTCGTTCTCCCCCCCAATATATATGTGTGTGTGTGTGTGTGTGTGTGTGTGTGTACACACACACACACACACACACACACACACACACATGTAGTCTGGCCCACCACATGGTCTGAGGGACGGTGGACCGGCCCACAGCTGAAAAAGGTTGCTGACCCCTGGGTTAGGCTCTGCCTCCACAGTCTAAGGCAGCAATTCTTCTGTGGTTGCTGGAAACCACAAGAGGGGAGAGGGCTCTTGTGCTCAGATCTTGTTTGTGGGTTTCCTATTGGGGCATCTGGTTGGGCACTGATGCTGGACTAGATGCTAGATGAGGCCTGATGCAGCAGGATGTTCTAATAGATGAGCAGGAAGCTTTTGAGCTCTGCCAATAGGTAGTCTCCCCACCCAGCAATATAGTGCTTTCAAAGTAAGTCTTCCTTCTTGCAGGTGTCTTGGGGATGAGGAAACTCAGATCGAAGCCTCGGCCCCCAGTGAGGAAGAAGGGAAGTCTGGCGCAGCGGAAGAGGACGGGGAGGAGGCTCAGGGGTCCCTATGGGTTGATCGGTTCGCTCCCAGGCATTACGTGGAATTGCTCAGTGATGATGTAAGCGTTTCTCATCAACCGTTGCTTTTTAAGGGGCACCATTTCTCCATGCAGCTTGAAGCTGCCTTGCAGAGGTGCAGTAGCTGCAACTGAGTATAAAATTCCTCTAGGGAACCCGGATGTCCTTTCTAAGTTTCTAGTCCCTGTGGTGGTAAAGAAAAGCTTGAGGGGGGGAAAGTGGAAGCTAAGAAGGTTTAACTGGAGACTGTTTTCCTTCATCGTTCAGTAGTGCTCCTGTAACACAGTTTTACCACCGAACACATTCTGAAATAGTATATAATTGGAAGTTTGCGTGTTCTCTCAGAAGCAGGGCCTGTCCCCAACACAAAATGGGTAAAGCAGTTTGTTTCTAATGAAAGAACATGAGGGTCTCCATCTATTTTAAGCCTTCTCAACCCCCCCCCTCTTTTTTTTACCTGAGTATTGCTGAGCATTTTACCTCAGTATTGCTACTTATTCATTGCAATTTGCCGGGAGGCTTTGGTGCAAAGGCTGCCCTATGTTAGGCAACTCACAAATGAAAATAATAATAATTAACATAAGCAGTTGGGTCACCACCGAAAAGGCCCTCTTTATCATAAGTGGTACTCAGAGGAGGGCCTCTGAAGCTGACTGGAAATTTCTGTGTGTTTTGCCTCATTTGAGGAAGGTTGACCTGACCCTCTTCTCTCTGACCCCTCAGTACACAAACCGCTGCCTTTTGAAGTGGCTCAAGCTTTGGGACACGGTTGTGTTTGGGAAGGAGAAGCCCACCAAGAAGCCCAAGACAAGCGCCGAGGCTCACCAGACATCCAGACACCCCAAAGAGCAGCAGAGCAAATGGAAGAGCAAAGCCCAGTTGACAGAGGAGGCCCTGGAGGCCGAGCTGGACCATCACAACCGACCAAAATACAAAGTGAGGGAGGCTGGCTGAGGTGGAGAAGGGCGTTGGGGCCAGGGGGTTGTCCACGTGGATCCTGTAGGCCAGTGTTCCCCAACCTTGGGCCTCCAGCTGTTTTTGGACTACAATTCCCATCATCCTTGACCACTGGTCTTGCTAGCGAGGGATGATGGGAGTTGTAGTCCAAAAACAGCTGGAGGCCCAAGGTTGGGGAACACTGCTGTAGGCAACTGGGCAACTTCTAGGGCACTTGCAAAAGGTCTCAGCAAGTATCCCCTCAAAAATCCACAAGAGGCTGTTTGCTTGGCCTAATCGTTTCCAGTTTACGCTGCCTTGGCCTCTCACAGTAAACGCATAGCAAGCAGATCCGGAAAGGCCCGGAAAAGTCCTCCTACAGAAAGGCAAACAGCTGCAATTTAGGGGTGGAGGAAATGAGAGGGGTGACCCCTCTTTGGAATACCCTTCTCCACCGAGGGAGCAGATGCAAAATGGAAAGCCAGTGCAGTGATTAAAAGTTGCAAAATGAATGTGCAGGCTGATCCCATACGCATCCCACACTAGAAGTTGTGGATATCCAGTGATGCTGAATGTTGGGAAATTCAGGGCAGATAAATGAAAGGACTTTTCATGCAGCACATGAACTCTGGAGCTCTCTCCCACAGGAGGCAGGATTTGCCACCAACCTAGATGGCTTTAAAGGAGGATTAGACAAATTCATAGAGGAGGCTTTTGAGGGCTACTCACCACAATGACTATGCTCTGCCTTCATGGTTTCAGGCAGTGATGCTTCTGAATCCCTGTTTCTGGAACCACAGGAGGGGAGAGACTCTTGTGCCCGGGTCCTGCTTGTGGGTTTCCCAGAGGCATCCAGTTGGCCACTGTAAGAACAGGATTCTGGACTAGATGGGCCACTGGCCTGATCCAGCAGGCTGTTCTTCTGTTCTTAACCTCTTGCACTACAAAAATTGGAATAGGAGCTTAGATCCACACCTGGTCATAACAAAGTGAAAGTTGAGGCTGACCCTACCACGGATAAAATGTTTGGGGAATATGTTCTAATTCCTTTTTTCCTTTTAAGGTGTAAAAAGTACTTGCAGGGTTTGCTGTAAAGCCCTGGATTTTGATGTTATTGTGGCTTTTCTCTTTGTTGCCTGCAGGTTGCCCTCCTGTGCGGACCACCCGGCCTGGGGAAGACCACTTTGGCTCACGTCATTGTGAAACATGCTGGGTACAATGCAGTGGAGATGAATGCCAGGTGAGCCAGCCAAGGAACATTTTGCCTTTCTCTGGGTTCCCTGCCACCTGCAGTTCTGGTACATTCAGGCTAAACCACTGTGAGACTACAAATGCACTATGACTAGAGTACTAGATGCAGGCGTCACAGGTTCATGTCCCCTCCAGGCCCTGTGGGTGACCTTTTGGAGGCTCAGTTGTTTCCTTGTCACATCTGTGAAATGGGTGCAAGTCATGACATAAGTTACAGGCTTGGCTTAAGCCACCTTACAGGCTGTATTCCTTTATTTCATATGTGGGGAACCTTTGGTTCAGTACAACCTGAACTACAACTTCCATCATCCCTGGTCATTGGCCATGCTTGCTAGGCCTGATGGGAATTGTAGTTCAGGTTGTACTGAACCAAAGGTTTCCCACACCTGCTTTATTGCAGAGTAACAAAAAGACAAGATCCTGCCTCGAGGAGTTCAGAATCTAATATTTGACAGCAGGAGCAGCAAAAGAAGGCAAGGCAAGGAAGCAGTGTGTGGTTTCAGGTGCACATGATCGGATTAGATTTACACAGTAGGGCATGAGAGGTGGTAGGCTGAGCCAAAGGCTTCACCGAAATGTTGGGTTTTCAGCAGGAATTTTAAAGTAGCATGAAAGGTGCCACTATGCAGCTCTCCTGGGACACAATTCCAGCAGTTCTGTATCAGGCCCCTCCCCAGAAAAGGGGCCAGCCTTGGATCCAGCAGATGTTGGGATATTCAGCACAGATAAAAGGAAGAACTTCTTAATGCTGAGTGTATTTAAATTATGGAACTCAATTATCCACTGTCAGTGCACTTTTGCCAACCTTTCTGAGGCAAGGTTTTTGTTTCAGCGATGACCGTAGCCCCGATGTCTTCAAAACGCGGATTGAAGCAGCCACCCAGATGAAGTCTGTGCTAGGAGCCAACGAGAAGCCCAACTGCCTGATTATTGATGAAATTGACGGGGCTCCTATGGTGAGAGAGAATTTCTTCATGTAAGGTGAAGAGTGTTGTGTTGGCCATGAGGTGACCCCCACCAATAATTTACATTTCGTTCTGTTCTGTTCTGTTCTGTTTTGCCCTGTTCTCTTCTTCAGGCATCCATCAATGTGCTGTTGGGCATCATCAACCGTAAAGCAGCAGAGGTGGAATCGGGCGGGAGTACCAGCGGGGCAAGCGGCAAGAAGAGGCGAAAAGAAGGGGGGCTCCTTCTGCGGCCAATCATCTGCATCTGCAATGACCAGTAAGATTCTGTCTGGGCAAGTGTGGCATAGGGGTCAGACTAGGACCTGGGGGAGACCAGGGTTCAAATCCCCACTGGATTGTGAAGCTCACTGGGTGACCTTGAGCAAGTCACTGCCCTCAGCCCATCCTACCTCACAGGGTTGTTGTGGGGATTAATTCAGATGGGGAAGAACCACATATGCCACCTTGAGCTTGGAGAAAACAGTGGGATATAAATGCAACCAAATAAATAAATTCACACATATGGGAGCATGGCCACACTAGCCATGGAATTCTGCCTGGGTCAGAGGAATGTGCCACAGCGTAGGCACCGGCAGATATTCCTGTCGACCTCCCCACGTCTCCACTCTGCTGATAAGCAGGCGAGGTCCCGGCGATTCTTCTCAGATGTGTGAGAGGAACACACCGTTCTTCCTCTCTCCCCTTTGGTGTCCCCCAGGGAGAGGAAAGAAGCAGACAGAAAACTATTTACATCCTTTATTTCTGCCTCTTATATCAGTACAGAGAAACATGTCTGCACTCAACAACAGCAAGAAGAAACTCCACTCATGTACTTCCAGTACGGGTCATATGACACACACACTGAGCTAACATCTGGTGCTCAGTACAGAATGGACTGCCCCTTTGTTCCCATGGCAACAGTCACAAACATCCTGTCTGGCTTTCCAGCCACAAGCAGCTGACTGAGCTGCTGGAGCCTTTGCTTGCTGCAGCATTGGTGCTTTATGGTAACAGTTCGGAGGTTGAAGCAAAGCATTATGGGAATGATATTGGTCATCTTGACTGGTTACTGTTTATCGGTAGGGGCCTAAAAAGCTTCATTTCCCACATTAGGCCTGCCAGATCTTGAGGAGAAACGTCTTCTGAATTTTCAAAGCTGAAACTTGAAAAATCCCATTATTAGATTTCAAACCCTGAACATGTGCATCTTTTGTGTCACTCCCACCCACCCTTTGATTTTTGTATTCTTCTGTTTCTGGACTAAAAGCCCTCTCTCCCCTCAGCCCTGACCAACTCTACTCTCAGAACCTTTTTGTCCACCACACTGGCAGCCAGAAACTTGTACTACATACAAATTAGAGATGAGGAAGAATGGCAAACTAAGCTGTTGGACTATGCCAAAATGGCAAAAGTGACCGGAAAGCTCAGGAACCAAGAAGACCAAAACTTCAACAAAGAATGGGAAGAATTTTATAATTTACTTGAGAGACCACTGTCAGCTGATGAAAACATTAGCAGGATTACAATAACAATTGTAACATAGAAGATTTTATGGACAAAATGCAGAGACATAAAATTTGGATGATGAAATAATATGCAGTTGAAAAGTTTTATAATAGGACCCATGGAGGGTAAAGTAAGAAGTCTGGAGATTCGGAGAAATCTCTAAATATGGATATTGCCATTTTGTATTGTTATAACTCTGCACTTGTAAAATCGAATAAAATTTATTTCGAAAAACAAATTGGAGATGAAGGTGCAAATGAAACGGATTCCACTCCGAAAGCAATGTCCTAAATCCCCGGCATGCTTTGTGATGAACAGATCTCGTGAGTATCTGTGTTAGGCCCATCCATAGCTTTTGCAACTCAGCCTCTAGCGGCAGGCCCTGTACTGTGCTTAACTCAGGACTCCTTCCGTTATTTCCCTGCCAATATACATCTCTGCCTCTTCTCTTTTTCTAGGTACGTCCCTTCTCTGCGTCTGCTGAGACAACAAGCCTTCCTTCTCAACTTCCCCTCAACGGCCCCATCCAGGCTGGTCCAGAGGCTGCACGAAGTAAGATCCAAATTCAAAATAATTTATTCTTCCGTTGCCTTGGGACTATACTTCCCTGCAGCATGGACTTTGTACCTGTGTCAGCCTTTAAAGAACTCACCTGGCCTGGTGGCTCTTTCTGTGGCGAGGAACATGGCCGCCAGGCAAGCAATCCAGGGAAGTTTGGCAAAAGCTAGCTCACTTCTTCATTATGTTTCTTCATTATCCATTCAGTTTTATTATTTTTAATAAATACTTTACACAGTTTTGTATAGGCCGCTTAGGTCTTTGTTGATTAAGCAGTATATGTTTGGAAAGTTGATTCGACTTTTAATCTATTTCTACTCTGTTGTTATTTTATCTTTTTGAAAGTCTTAAAATATAAGAGTTAATTTTTCATAGTGCTAATTTTATTATATTTAACTTTTCTGCAAACTGCTTTGAGGGTTTTTTTTATAAAAAAACAATTAAATGTTCACATGTGCAGCTGCCTCTAATATACATATTTTTGCATTTCAGATCACCGTTAAGCAAGGCATGAAGGCTGACACAGGGGCCCTCTTGGCATTGTGTGAAAAGGCAGAGAATGACATTCGCTCTTGTATTAACACCCTGCAGGTAACTTCACATACCCCACTTTCATCTTTTATCAGGGGTGGAGGAGAATTTCTATTTTGTTTGCATTTTAATGAGGGACCACCTCATTCTCACTTCAAGAATCTATGCACAAACCAAAACTTAGCCCTTCTTTGAAATTCACACTTGCCTGAGTCTTGTGATGCAGTTCTCTATTTGATTAACAACAACAAAGGCACAGAAGTGCATATATTAGCGGGAAATATGTATAAAAACACATACCGTATTTTTTGCTCTATAAGACTCACTTTTTCCCTCCTAAAAAGTAAGGGGAAATGTGTGTGCATCTTATGGAGCGAATGCAGGCTCCGCAGCTATCACAGAAGCCAGAACAGCAAGAGGGATTGCTGCTTTCACTGCGCAGCAATCCCTCTTGCTGTTCTGGCTTCTGAGATTGAGAATATTTTTTTCTTGTTTTCCTCCTCCAAAAACTAGGTGCGTCTTGTGGTATGGTGCGTCTTATAGAGCGAAAAATACGGTATTTTGGTGAAAATCACATTAAAATGTGCACTGTTAGGGGGGAATTGCTTTCAGAAAAACGTGTGTAGTAATCAAAGCTGCAAAGAAGAATGTGTTTATTAGGAGAACTTTGCACCAAAATGCCAAGGAATTTTCATGAGAGAGAGAGAAATAAAATAAATAAAAACGTAAAAAAAAAAATTGTGACTGGCCCACGAGCATCCGGTGAGTTTTACGGCTGAATGGGGATTTGAACCCTGGTCGCTCCCAGGTCCCCTTCCTGCCTTAACCACTGTACCACATTACCACTTTATTGCAAACTGATGTGAAAATGTGGAGAACTGAAATTATGCTTAGTAAAAGGGGAAACCTGGAGAGTCTGAAATTGACAGGCCCGTCAACCCCATTCCATGTCCTCAAATCTCCCTGTGTTGTCTTTTTAAGTTCCTGCACAGTCGAGGTAAGAAGGAACTGAACGCGAGGACCGTGCAGACCACGCAGGTTGGCTCTAAAGACCAGAACAAAGGGCTGTTCTCCATCTGGCAGGAGATCTTCCAGCTTCCAAAAGTGCAGAGGTGAGGAGGGGGAGCTTCTGCGCTTCATTCGGCAGATCCTTTAGAACTTAAGAGGAGCCCATTGGATCAGGCCAATGGCCCATCTAGTCCAGTGTCCTGTCCTCATAGTGGCCACACAGGTAACAGGGGGAAACCCTCAAGGAGGACCCAAACTATAAAAAGCACGCTCTCCTCCTGTGGCTTCCAGCAACTGGTATTCAGAAGCATTACTGCTTCCAGTCGTGGAGGCAGAGCATCTACTCCTCTTTTAAAGGCATCTAGGTTGGTGGCCATCGCTGCCTCCTGTGGAAATGAGTTCTACAGTTTAACTATGCGGTGCATGAAGATGGACTTCCTTTTATCCATCCTGAATCTCCAAAAACATTCAGCTTCATTGGCTGCCCACCAGTTCTAGTGTTACAAGGGGGGGGGGGTATCTGGCCACTTTCTCCATGCCAATTTGTCCCTTCCAAGATGCATTTTGGGGTATATTTCTTAATAGAAGTGCAAAAATGCACCAGGTTTTAAGACTGCAAGGGATTTTGCAAACTGAACTAATGTTTTCCAGACATGACATCTTTATTTGATTTTTTTTCCTTTTAATTATGTTATTTAGGCCATTAAAAGCTGCAGATTCTTTCTTTTTTTCCTGATGTTTGTGCATGGAGGACCTGTATTTGGTACAACAGTGTGAGATAAATTTTAAAATCATTTATCTGGCAATGCTTAAATACCGCTTAGAATTTAAGTGGTTTACGTAAAGTAGTATGCTATACGGTATTGATTCTTTTTAAAATGGTGATTAAAAATTATGGAAATATAGCAAACATTATTTGTTTAGAAAACAAAAGTACATAATGAGATCACGTCTCCACATTTTGACAACTGCAAAGTTCACTGTTGCTTGATTTCCCCTTCCTTTCCCTCCCCACCACTATGGAGAAGCCTTAAACTGCATGACCAATCTTAACCCTTCTGCTTCCTGCTTCTGTTCCAAGGCAGAGAATCGGTTTGGACCCTTCAATTCCAGCTCACCTCTTCTAACGGGGGCGATGACAACCTGTTCCATGTGACCTCAGCTAGAGCTTCCCTTAATCCAAATGCCCAAAGGTTTCACCACATCCTGCATCTAAGCATGTCCTCAGGAGAACATGAAAAGCTTACCCAGGCATGTAGTTTGTGTTTCATTTTTCGCTTTGGTGTGAGAAAGCAAAATTCAGACCACTAGTTCAGATCCTTATCTCCCCATGTCCTTCCCATCCCCAAATATATATTACCAAGAGCTTGGGCCAAGTTATAATACTTAAGAAACAGAAATATATGTATATATAAAATTGTCCAGTAGCACCTTAGAGACCAACTAAGTTTGTTCTTGGTATGAGCTTTTGTGTGCATGCACACTTCTTCAGATACAGAGGCACGCAAAATTATAATGACTTGAAGACATTCAGAACTTAGAAAAACACTACATGTGGATTTCAGCATTGCACCATCTTTCAAAAGCTTATTCAATTAAAAGCTGTGATTCTGAAAGTTGGTCAGGCTCTGAATTTGGTTGAAGCTCATACAGATGAAAAGCCCAGAGCTGTAGGGTAGCCTCTGTGAATGCCTTTCAGTGTTGCATTTGGGGGTTGCAGTTCAACAAAAGATACTGGCTGACACCTTGGCCACATGCACACCATACATTCAAAGCAGTATGATACTGCTTTATACAGACATGGCCCCCCCCCCAGTATTGCTATGAGTTTGTGGGGTGCCCGGACTCCCTGCTTCTAATTCATGGACACTCCTTCTAATTCCTGGGTGACAGGCACTGGATTTAGCATTTTAAAGTAAAGCCAGATTGGCTTCCCATGTTCAAGTGATCATCTGGAATGGGCCACTAAGGAGAACCAAAGGAAAGTAATGAGCCATTAGAAATCTCACCAGAGAGAGCAGGAACTCCTTCAGATCAGACTTAGTTAGAATACAAAAGGCTGCTGTGGCTAGGGGAGAAAGTAGAACCTCTTGGGGTGTCAATGTTTTAAGCCCCTCCATCGTAGGCTAAGATGGTAAAGGTAAAGGAACCCCTGACCATTAGGTCCAGTCGCGGACAACTCTGGGGTTGCGGCGCTCATCTTGCTTTACTGGCTGAGGGAGCCAGCATACAGCTTCCAGGTCATCTGGCCAGCATGACTAAGCCGCTTCTGGCGAACCAGAGCAGCGCACGGATGGTATATACGTGTAAATAAGTCATATGAAGATGCCACAGTTTCTGTTGTGCCTCATTTCCAAAGGAAACATGAACCCTGGAACTTTGCACCACTCAGAAATTGGGGTAGGATGCAACAATGTCTTGGAAGCTGTATTTTGTTGAAGGCTCTGAGAGGAATTGAACTACAATTCCAAGAGTGGTTTAACGGCCAATCCTTCTCACAGGGAACTCAGGGAATTGTAGCTCCATGGGGGCGGGGAATAGGGCATCTCCTAACAACTCTTGGGATGCTTAACAAGCTACATGTCCCAGAATTCTTTGGGGGGGAGCCATGACTGTTTCACAAGTGCATGGTTGTGACTGTGGCTTGTCTCTGCTTTCCTTGGCAGGGCTTGTACGACAACTTTCTGAACATGAAGATAAAGGACTCTGCCTTTGACTCGCTCTGCCTGGCCTTGGAGTGGCTGGGCTTCTCCGACCTGGTGAACAAGGCAGTCCTGCACAGGCAGAACTTCCAGCTCATGCGCTACTTGCCCTTCCTCCCCGTCGCTTTCCACTTGCTCTTTGCCGCTTCCAGCGTTCCCCGCCTGGCCTACCCCAACAGCCAGCACGAGGCATGTATTGAGAGAGGAGTGGTCGTGGGCAGAGCCAGGTGTCACAAGCCAAGCAGCGGTGTCTTGGACGGGGTGGGGAGGGCGAGAGATCAGGGAGCTGGAACTCCCAGGGGGGCCCAGTTGGAATGAAAAGGAAGAGGCAGGGTGTGTGGAGCTGTTGGAGTTTACACTTAGCCATGCAGTTCACCTGCAGCCCCTTTAACCCTAGCCTGGCCTATGCATTTCTCAGATTCATGCATTGAAGAGCTTGGCAGAACCCAAAACCTGAGTTTTGAGTTCATCCAGCAATGTGAGACTGCTCTGCACTAGTTGTACAGTGGTACCTCGGGTTACAGACGCTTCAGGTTACATATGCTTCAGGTTACAGACTCTGCTAACCCAGAAATAGTACCTGAACTTTGCTTCAGGATAAGAACAGAAATCGTGCAGCAGCAGTGCAGCAGCAGCAGCGGGAAGCCCCATTAGCTAAAGTGGTGCTTCAGGTTAAGAACAGTTTCAGGTTAAGAACGGACCTCTGGAACGAATTAAGTTCCAAGGTACCACTGTATTTCTTTATGCTCTGAGGCAGCAAGGTACTACAGTGTTGAGAATCGTCCAAGAATCACTTCTTACGTCATCTGTTACACACTTTGATGAACTGTTAATAGCTGAGAAATCCCTTCGGGGCGAAACAAGGAAATAATCCGGAAACCTTGTTCTACCCTCTACCCTACCCAGCTGCCTGAGCCAGCCTGCCTGTTTCTGCTACCTGTGCTAGCCAGACTCATCAGCTGTATTGTCCGTGACATTCCGGGGACTTTTCCTTAACCACATTCGAGGACTATAACATATAAACTAAAACAAGAATGTACAGTATATCCTCTACTTACGATCACAATCCGTTCCAGAGGCCTGTCCACTGGGCGAAACCGGACGCTAGTAGAGGCGCCGTTGTGCGCATGCACATTCGGTGGCGGCGCGCTTCTGCACATGCGTAAACGGCAGCCACTTGTGCGCTGACACAGAAGCCGCTTCCACACATGTGCAAATCACGGCAAACCCAGTGTTTACTTCCGGGTTTGCCGCAGTCGCAACTTGGAACGTCCGCGAGAAGAGGCGGGTATAAGTCAAGGTTCCACTGTATGAAAAAAGGAAGAAATATATCTGCATTGGCTTTAATTAAATAGATTATATACCTTGCTTAAGGATTGTTTATGGTATACATCCTGGACTTGATTCATATGATAGGAAGTAACCTGTAAAGAAATTTGTTACAAACATTACCACTCAGCCTGTTGCGCTCTATTGCATCTGTGTAACAAGGTATTGTATTTGTTTTGACTCTGAGGCAGCAAGGGGCATTCCTAATTAATCCTGAGTCCAGGCTTGTTCAGTTTTCTCCTTGATCCTGGAGCTTACCAGTTTCCAAAGCTGGTGTACCTACTATTGTCATCGCTCAGTGGCCAGCACCTTGTTTTGCATGAAGAAGTTCCCAGGTTCAATTCCCAGCATCTCTGTGGACAAATAACTGACCAGGTACAAAGCATAAGTTCTGCTAGGCTGACCTTTCACATCTTGCGGAAGTTGCCCTGTCTGTCAACATTCCACGTCATGATGATATAACATAACTTGGAGACTGACAGCTCACTAGTGCTGCTTGTTTTGTTTTTCTCAAGTCCCTGGTGAAGCTGACTCAGATGCAGAACCTCATTGCTTCCATGATGTCTGGGATCACGCCAACCTCCCGCAGCCGTGCCGGACCGCAATCTCTTGTCCTTGAGGCCCTTTGCCTCCTCTTGGAGATTATCTCACCAAAACTGAGACCGGTAAGGAAGCCCTTCTGGTAGGAGAATTTTATTTTCTTCATCGTATATATGCTATTTATTGCCCACCCTTTACCCTAAGGTCCCAGGACTGATCACAGCCATTATAATACAATATTAACCACAGTTTAAGACAAATTACATTCGCAAAAGTAGTCTGGGTCATAAAACTATGCATCACATGTGTCAAAGGCCCAGGGTAAACAGGCACATCTTCACCATACTGCCAAAAACTGTATAACGAAGTTCCCAGATGTGCACCTGTGGGGAGGAAGTTCCACAACTTAGTGACTGTCACAGAGAACACCCTCTCACTGGCCACTCTCTACCCCGAGCTGCTGAGGGCGGTGGAACTGCCAGGTTCCTATCCCCTAGTGCCCCTTAGGCCTCAAACATTCCCTTTGAATATGAAAACTGGGAATTTTGGACTACAGCTCCCATCAGCTCTAGTCAGCACAGCCATTTTGACTGTGGCCATGCTCGTGGCTGATGGGAGCTGTAGTTCAAAACATCTGGAGGCCACTGGGTTGGTGAAGGCTGCATTCCTGGTCATGGCAGTCGATGTTAGTTTGGTGAGTCTCCCCATCCCACAGGCTTCATTCATCACCCTTTGAAACCCTGTGTCCCTTGCCAGCTGCTTTTGTTTGCCACATGAGGATTGTCTGCCCATTCCTGAAACAGTGAGCAAAGTGGACCTCCTGCCCAAGTGGACTGCCAAGGCCGTCCCATCCCGGTCCTCTGGCCTGAGCTTTACCTCAGGGGACCTTCTTGCGTTGCAAGGCTAAAGGGGACAGTTATGCAAGTGCTGGAAGAAGCAAAGACCTGAAGGGAAACAATTAATTCCGTGTACCCAAAAAAATAAATAAAATGACAGCAGGTGTCCTGTCCTGTCCTTCTCTCCCCCGCCATCCTGTTTGTGTCACAAAAATCTTTTTTGTGTGTCTGCTTGGTGTCCGTTGCCCTTCAAATCACAGTACATGAACAGGCTGTTGGGAATCTTTGAAGGTCAAAAAAGAAGTAGGAGGCATGGCTTGCTTGAGTCCTTTGGGCCTCGTTGCTTACACTGCGCATAATGCTTGAAGCACTCTGAGGCTGGTAGCAGAGTGGCCGTTCTCCTGGCACATCTGCATCTGATGGGTGGAACTATGGAACTCACTCCCGCAGGAGGCAGGGGTGGCCTCCAACTTGGATGGCTTTAAAAAAGGGTTAGAGGAATTCATGGAGGAGGAATCTGACACAATGGCTATGCTCTGACTCCATAGTTGGAGGCAGCAGTGCTTCTGAATACCAGTTGCTGGAGGCCACAGGAGGGGAGAGGGGTCAAATCCTGCTTGCTGGTTTCTCATTGGGGCATCTGTTTGGCCACTGTGAGAACAGGACTTGATGGGCCATTGGCCTGATCCAGCAGGCTCTTCTTACATTCATGTGTAATAAAATCCTTAACAACAACAGAACAGAAATTTTAGATCAGGTGTAGGGAGGAACAGCTCCCTAGCACATTGGCTATGCTGGCTCTGATGTGAGTTGTAGTTCAGCAACATCTGGTGGGCCAGAGGTTCCCCACACGTGGTGCAGATTTGCCGGTTAAAGTTTCTCTGGAGTAAGTGGGTTTCCCAGTGGGTGCCTACATTTATTTAGAGGGTTTCTATACCACTCTTCAGCCAAAAAGGCTCCCAAAGCTTCTTACATACAACCAACTAAAACTAGACAGTCCGTGCCTGTAAGCTTGCAATCTAAAGGACACGACACGAAAGGAAAGACGGGCACGGAGGGAAGAGGGGGAAAGCAAATGGGCAGGCAGCCATTTCCCCCACCCCACCCTGTCCTTGGCAGCCAGATACAACGAAGCTGTCCCCAGGCTATAGTTTTGCCCACTGTGTGGGTCCTCTCTTCACTCTCTGCCCATATCCAGTGAAGGAAAGGCCACCCAAAAGTGCATCTTACTCCTTATATAACCCACCGGTCCCTGTGCTCTGCAGGAGAGGGGCATCCTCTAGCAAATCACCATATGCAGTTAGCCCAAGTCAGCCATAAGATGTTGCCTTGAGATCTAGAAGCATGAAGTAGCAAGAGAGATTCCTACTCACTGTCTTCCATTCGCAATTTCCAGGTGAACACCCAGCTGTACAGTCAGAAAGAGAAGCAGCAGCTGGGGGAGCTAATCAACACCATGTTGGCGTATAATCTTACTTACCACCAGGAGCGAACCCCCGAAGGGCAGTATGTCTTCACGCTTGACCCGTGAGTACTGTATAAGACAGGCATGGCCAAACTTGGCCCTCCAGCTGTTTTGGGACTACAATTCCCATCATCCCAGACCACTGGTCCTGTTAGCTAGTGATGATGGGAGTTGTAGTCCCCCAAAAAGTATAAGAGCATCAGGAGAGTCTGCCTGCTGGGGTCTGTCTGGTCCAACGCCCTGTTTTCCTGTTCCGATGGGGAGCCCCTAGTGGGACATGAGTGCAGCAGCATTCTCCCTGCCTATAATTCCCAGCCTACTGCCTCCAGCAGAACACGGTCGTCGTAGCTTTTAATAGCCTTATCCTCCATGGATTTTTTTCTCATTTTATAAAGCCATCACTACCTGTTGCAGGACCACTCTCCACTGCAAAGCAGGGTAAACCCTTTAAAGATCCTGGGGTCCAGTTTCCTACCACTTGTGAGTGGCAGCTGTTGATGTGAACCTGGGTTCCTCAGTACCACAGTGCCCGCCAACACCTTTCCTTGGCATCTACCAAGGTTTTGTGCCCTTCTTTTTTTCCAGGCAGGTTTTTTTGTGGGGTTCCATTTCCCTCTCCCTACTTTACTCATTTGGGTATGTGTGTGGTGAAAGGGTTGCTTCTTGCTTGTATTTTCTGAGCACTCTCAGTCTTTTCCTCTGTGAAATGGCTTGTGCCCACAGCAGTTTCTTCTATTTACTAATGGGCCCCTAGACCCAGAAAGGGTTGCTTCTTGCTTGTATTTTCTCAGCACTCTCAGTCTTTTTCTCTGTGAAATGGGCCCACAGCAGTTTCTTCTATTTCCAAATAGGCCCCTAGGCCCAGAAAGGTTGGGGACCCCTGGTGTAAACTCTGCAAACTGTCCCCCTTTAGAAAAGCATTGTGTTTGACACAGAAAAAAAAGCTCGGTCTCCTTGCACCCTTGATCTTGTTGCATTTCACACACAGTCACTCGGCTGTTCTCACGCCCACCACATGAGGAGCACCTAGATCCATGACATTCACAATTCAGAGCATGGCCCACTCATCCTTCCTTGTGACTCCATTCTGGGGGCAGCATTTCACTCGGAAGCGGAGTGGTCCTCTATTTTGCAGCCCAGAGTTTGCTGCCTGGGACACAGGAAGTGGAAGTCATGGGAGACTGAGCAGTTCTCCATAATTTAGTCTAACCTTGTTATTCATGGGGGGGGGGCGAGTATGATAATTCCCAACCCCTAACCAGACCAGGACCCTGGGGGACCAGGGTTCAAATCCCCACTCACCCTGGCCAGTTACTCACTCTCAGCCTAACCTTCCTCACACGGTCGTTGTGGGGATGAAATGGGTAGCAGGAGAAGTATGGAGGCCACCTTGAGCTCCTTGGAGGAAAGTTGAGGTATAAATGTGATAAATAAATAATTAAAAATAAATTGGCATGTTTTATTCAGCAACACTCCCTCTGGTTGCTGAGGTTTCGGCAGGCATAGTCCACCATTTCATTTTATGAAAAAGCTGAGGATCCAAGAATCTGAATTCTGGATTCAGAATTGTATCCAGTACCTGAGGAGTCATATTTTTATCCACAGTGCTTCCACGTTCTGTATATTATGTTAGGATTTTCACTTGGGCACGAGGGACCCTCTGACTCTGAGCAGAAATCTCATTACCGATTTTAAGAGATTAGCAGGTTTTGTACAGAATTGCTGAGAAGCAGCATTTAATCGCCTTCTGCTTTTTTGACCTTGGATGCCTCTGAAATTAGCACCCCAAACCCTCGTCGTGGGTTTCTTCCTTCATTTTTTGTAGTGTTTGTTAATAATAATAAAAACCAGTTAAAAGTGATTTATCAGGTGATCTTTTATGAAAAGACCTAATATGGCACCAGCCCAGAGGTGGCATCGGCCATCATCACGTGTGACATTAGATAATCAGGGTAGAAGAGAAACTCAAGGATTCGGCTTAAGCGCACGCTCTCTCTCTCTGTGCCTAAATTATCTGGAAGCAAGCGTGTTGTTTCCAGCCCTCCCTGAGCAGATGGTGAAAATATCCTCTTCATTTTCTGGGTATGTCGACTTTAAACACATCACTTCTCCCTTCCTGTGATCCAGCCCCCGCCACTTCCTCTCCACTCACTTAATCAGGTTTGATCCTCTTTGACTCCCCACCCCCCCAATCTGTCTTCTCTCTTCCTGTGAGCGAATGCACGCATGGATGTCTTGAGTTTTGTGGAATTCATGGGTAGTTTAGGGAAGCGTTCTGGAGTTGTGCTACACTTCTGCACCTCAGTTCTTGTAGCAAAACCATAATGTGGGAGATGGCCCATATCGGGCTTGTATATTGACTTAGTCACCTACGCTAAGGAAAAAATCACCTTTAGGCGACTCTTGAAGCAGTTAGCTTGACCAGAGTTAGTTAACTTTTTTCTGTTAGTCTCCAAATGGTTAATAGAATTGTGTTGAGCTAGGTAGGTAAGGGTAAAGGGACCCCTGACCATTAGGTTGAGTCGTGGCTGACTCTGGGGTTGCAGCGCTCATCTCACTTTATTGGCCGAGAGAGCCAGCGTACAGCTTCCGGGTCATGTGGCCAGCATGGCTAAGCCGCTTCTGGCGAACCAGAACAGCACACGGAAACGCCATTTACCTTCCCGCTAGAGTGGTACCTATTTATCTATTTATCTACTTGCACTTTGATGTGCTTTCGAACTGCTAGGTTGGCAGGAGCAGGGACCGAGCAATGGGAGCTCACCCCGTCACGGGGATTCGAACCGCCGACCTTCTGATCGGCAAGTCCTAGGCTCTGTGGTTTAACCCACAGCGCCACCCGTGTCCCCAGTTGAGCTAGGTAAGTTGGTAAAAATGCTCCTGGACTAGTAATTTTACCAAGGTTGGCCTAGATGTTAAAGTGATGAGGGTAAGAAGATCTTAGTGGGTTGTGTTGTTAATTACTTCCCACCCTCTATGGTCTAGATGGTTCAGCCTTCCCATACTAAACAGTGTGAGAAGGGCCATAGCTGAGCATCTCTCTTTGCCTGGAGGAGGTCCCAGGCTCAATGCCCCAAATGGCATCTCCAGACAGGACTGGGAGAAAGACTCCCTGCCTGCCACCACAAAGAGCTCCTGCCAGTCGGTGCAGACAATACTGAGGTAGATGGATCAATGGTCCAACTTGGTATAAGCCTGCTTCCTGTGTGTCTTAAGGCTGGCCCTCCAGATGTTGCTAAATTACAACTCCCAGCATACCTGGACATTGGCCACGTTTGCTAGGGCTAATGGGAGTCATAGTTCAGGCTACTGGTTCTCTGCAGCCCTGTAGTAAATAGCCATGGTAGGAGGGTCAATTGCCTTCTGATATCCAAAGGCCTAGTCACCTAGAGGCAACTCCTAACTCACCCCAGGCAGCCAGGTTAGAGTGGGGTTTTTTTCGCAATCATCATGTCAAGACTCAAGCTGGATTTCCCATTGAGCCAAGTTTTGTTTTCTTTCTTCTAAGCCACCTGTCCTAACACAAGACTGCATTGGGTGCTCCTTTCCCGCAAATCGTTAATGAGAAATTTTGCCCTTGATTCGCCCGTCACTATAAGTAAGAAACTATATCCCTCCATTCTGCAAAATCAGGTTCAAGGTTAATACAGCTGGAAATGTTTTTTTCACTCCAAATCCCTTACATTCATTCAAAGGGCTTAGTGGTTTGCACTCATGTCTGCGTGTTCAGGGGCTGGGAGAAATTTCCGTTTTCTTCTTTCCTGTATCATATCAGCTCTCTTAGTTTGGGTTTCTGCACCCTGATCTCTATCGGATATCACTGAGCTGCCCTCTTTCCAGGAATATATTAAGTTTTCAGAGCTTCCCACCCTTTCAAGGCACGGATATATTTCTGCCCTCCTCCCACCTTCGCCGTCAGCCCCCCTGCTGAGGGGATCAACAGGACAGACTTCTGATTTGCTGCCTTCTCCTGCCTTCTATTCATATTCTCATCATTGGAATCTCTCCCCGCCGCCGGGCTCAAAACCAGCCTAGCCAAGATTGTTTGGCCTTAATCGGATTAGAGGAAGAGAAAACAGCTGCCTTTTGGCTTTTGACGGAGAGGCGCGAAGAAGCTGAAGATGCCTCCGGTTCTCCCCTCCTCGTTGGGCCACTAGGATGCCAGCCCGCCTTCCGCTTCTATGTTTCAAGCCCGCTGCCAGGAGACTCTGTTCGTGACTGACTGGGGGGTGCCGCTGGTGATCGCCCTACTCCTCCTCGGCCTAATTTATCTGTTCATTTACCTGCCAGCCAGCCTCCAGCAGTCGTCGTCGGTGGAAGAGGCAGTGAGGAATTTAAGCGACAAGTACACTTACAACGGGGTGGGCTTTGTCAAGCAGTGAGGTCCAGAAGGCACCAAAGTCCACCGGCGGCCGACCCATCTCTCCATTTGAGGCCAAAGAGCAGCAGCCACAGATCTGAGCTCAGCAGACGAAACTTCCACTCTGGTTTCGGATAGAAAGAATTGTATCCAAGAGAGCCGTTCTTCCTTAGAGCAGCTGCATTTTTGGGTGTCTACACCAGAGGAGACCGGCAGGTTTCTTCTTCCGATTGGCGGACCCAGGAGCCAAGTCTCCGAGCCTCGCTGCTCCGTCGTCTTACTTTGCAGGGTGTCGTGGAGGAAAAGCTGAGTCTCGCCAGCGGAAAGCAGGGAGGAGGTGCTATGTTTGGGCATTTCGTGGAAGGAAGACATTTCGTTGTGGGAAGAGTTGAGGGGATTGGTGCAACATGAGTGGCTGGCATCACTGAGAAAGGCTGAAGACCCGTGTGTGGAAAACGCTGGCTCTTCAGAGGCAGGCAACAGCACTTGAAAAGACACTGGTCCTTGACTTTTACTCTTCATTGAGCCCCCACCTCACTGCTGGCCACCATCTTTGTAACAAAGCTTTCTGACTAAAAATGGCAAAATATGTTGTGTATCATTTGGCCGCAAGAGGGTTTGTCTAATTAATGCATAGCTGTGGCTTAGATTTGCTGGATTTTTTTGCACAAACTTGTCAGCTTTGCTGTGCTTATGGCAGTGTTTCCTAAAAGAGCTTTAAAGGTACCCTTTCTTTTTCCTGGGTTAAACTTTCAGGGCACATACCATGCTCTTTAGAGCCAAAAGGATGATTCTTTTTCGGGAAAGCAGAAGCAAATCAGCTGCCTTCAGGGGATCCCACCTTCTGTGTTTCTGCATGAGTCACCAATCAGGGAAGATCCTTCGTTTGGAAGGAGGCAAGCCCAAAGCACTGACTCATGCAGAGGGGCACCAGGCAGACTCCTCGAAGGGTGGGTAATTCCGCCACGATGGAGCTGATGGAATGATAAGATTGCACGATGTGGGACAGAATTCCCCACCCTCGGTGGAAATTGATCCATCAATTTGAAGGAGCCGAGACAGAGCAGCAACTCATTCAGAGACACTGCAGGCAGCCTCTAGTGCAAAGAGGTCCTTCAGATTCATAGGGGGCCCCTAACTATTTTAATTAACTTATTTCTTGTGACACCATATTTTGTGAATTACTTGATTAAAGTGCTAGTTCTTTTGCTCCCTTCCAACACTCCTCTGAGTTTGCTAGTATGCTAAGCCTCCTGTTTCTCTTTAAAACTGGAGCTCTGTCTGTCTGCAGCAGGTGTCACAATGAGGCAGTTGACGATTCAGTGTTTCTTTCTCAAAGAGATAATTAGATTTGGTTAATATCTGGCACATCCAGCATAGTAGATGGGTTGCTGCTTGTTACCATTTCTTCCTCTTTAACGTAGATTAGTCTCAAGATCTAAGAATCTAGCTTTGCTTGCTTTATTTTATATTACCGTATTTACTCGAGTCTTAATGCGCCGTCAAATCTAATGCGCACCTCAGTTTTCAGAACCTTGGAACCAAAAAAGTATTTGCTGGCGAATGTAAATGTGCCATCGAATCTAATGCACACCTTATGTTTTCGCAACATAATTTGGCCAAAAAAGGTAAACATTAGATTCGAGTAAATACAGTAAATTAAAAGCAAAGTTTTTATTCCTTAGGATGGAAAGATAATCTGCAAAGTAGGCAAAATGTGTCTGCAAAAGTTACCTTTGTGTGTTGTGGGAATACTTGCCTCTCTAGACAATTGGTCCTACCCTGGTGTCCTAAGTTAACAGTTAGGATTGAACTGTTCAATGCATTGGCCCCCAGAAGAGGAGTGAAGGCCTGGTGGGTCCTCTTTCCAGATTTATTCCAGATGATGCTAGACTGTAACTCACATAATCCCTGACCTTTGGCAACTCCGGCTGGGGATTATTATGGTTATTATTATAATTTACTTTCCCTTCACTCTAGGGAATTTACACCCTTCACCACTAAGCAAATTTGTTGAATTTCATGTAATGAAAGGCTCAGTTTCAAATCGCAGCAAAAATTTGACATCTGAGTTCGAGAATCAAAATTCCATATTGTTGGCTGGATTAAGCTGGTATGATTTTTGCTATAAAATTTAGTTAGACTGTTGTTGGAAACTGTCAAATACATGTCGATATCCTTCTTTCCTGTAAGCTGCCCATTTTGTTGTTAGCTGTCAACTAATTCTAAGTCCAGCACTGTTAAAAAGTGATCTGCTGCTTTCAGGGTTGACTCTGTGATGTAGATTCTTCCAGCGTCTTAAGGCTGATGCAGAATATCAAAGATTTGCTAAGTGCTTTGTACGTTCCAGAAAATACATCAAGAGTATTTGCCACCAAAATTCACATACAAGTAATTTTGAGGCGCATTTCACCTCCACTTCAAATTTGAGGTTAAAATTCCACACTTTAGAAATCTCAAATTTCTCACTAGGCATTTTGTGTTTTGCATCCGAGGCGCAAATGTTGAAATTGTGTGTGTCGTCAGGATTGTCTCTGTCCACTTGCTTGGCACATTCGGTAGTGACAGCCCTTGCATTTCAGGAGCTCTGCCTTCTTTCTTCCTATTTGCTGTATTAAAAATGATTTCCTTCCAAGTCTCTGCTTGAAAACTCTAGAAGACCAATAAATCTTGCAATGTTCAGCCAAGGCTGCCTTGTCAGTGTCTGTCTCAGTTAATTCCTTTAGCTGTGCATTGATTAGCGGTATCCTTTTCTTTTCCTTTCTTACTCCAACCCCTGATGTCTTCATCTTCTGGAGAGAAATTTATAACGGTTCTTTATACAGTGCACATTTTGATTTCTTTCAAACTTGCAATTCCAAAAACCAAAACCAAGTTAAGAAGTAGGGAACAGATGCCGTGGGCATTATTTTTTCCTTTTGAGCCATGGAACGCTCACAAACATTCTGACTTCTGGTGGGTGAAAGTGCCTGCAACAGGATGCTGGCAAGTAGTAATAGGTTCTGGTGAAGTGAAAGATCACTTTGACTAGGGTACTCACAGACAGGGTCTGAAATTAAGAGGGCGCCAGGCTCATTTTGAACCTAAAGATTCTCCATTTGCAAGCACCTAAAAAGTCTGGGTGCCATTTTTATGCACCTGGCTGACACTCAAGGATTACTGAAATGTATGTGCTTGAAATATATGTTAAGGATAGACAATATGTTAAGGAGTTTAACAATAAAGAGTAGAGTGTTTTTAAAACTGAAGTACAGTATCAATATTTTTATTTTAAAATTAAACATGTATTAACAATTTTCTGCTAAAAATGTGATCTTAACAATGTGTCACTCACGTGAATTACGTGCTAGTTCATGCTTATCAGAACAACCCACACACCTAAGTGGCGACTGGACATTCTGTTTTGGCGCCCACAACCCAGGTCCCAGAAGCCATTCGGCTCCTAGCTTTTCTATCCCAGTTTCTAAGACTGCTCACAGAGGCCCTAAAACTGGGAAGGAGCTGTTTCAGGTTGGTGTTAGGAAGGCAGTACACAAGAAAGAGAACTTTGAATGCTAGGAAACTGGGACAAGTAAATTTCACACCTTAATTTGGACAAACCTGCCAAAATGCTAGTTGCCAGGATATACCTTCTGTGGGTTTTTTAAAAAATAACTTTATTTTAATCGTTGTTGTCTACTCTTTTAAGAATAATGGGGGCAAGAGTGGGCAGGTGTACAACTTAATGCTCAAGGTGGCATTCATGGTTCTCTCCCCCCCCCCCCATTTTATCTTCACTACAACCCTGTGAGGTAGGTTAGGCTGAAAGGCAGTCAGTGGCCCCCATAGATGAGCAGAGATAGATAACTTTTTTTTTTAGTGTGGTTTTCTTCTTGTTTATAATTCTTCTGCACTGATCTATCCCACTGCAATGCCTAGAAACATGGAGGAAGTGTGTAGGTTCCCAGATCTCCCGCTTCGGAAACCGCTGACTTACCAAGCCAAGCAACTTATCGCAAGAGAAATTGAGCTGGAGAAGATGAGGCGGACGGAAGCCCTCCTTCATGCACGGAACTCTGGCCAGGTAAGTGGCTGGACGGCTCTTGGGGAGAGCAAGTGGATCAAAGAATATGTGCGTCTGGCTTAGGCCCCTCTACAGATCTTGTGTATGCCCCAGAATCCTTTGCAGCATGCAACGGTTCATTGGTAAACTAGCCTTCTGCTCCAGAGGTTCCCCAAGGAGAAAAATCCCTGAAAAATAGTGGTCCAGAGAAGGGGATAGGACCCCTTTCCAACCTGATGACCACTTTCCCTTGTGGGCAACCGTCTGTGGGTCACATGCCAGTGGTGGATGGGGCCCACTGGTGCCAACTATAGGGGGTCTGGGCACCCACAAAAAATTGTGGATGCTCAGCACCCGGTCTACTAGGCCTCCAGCACGACTTCTAGGGCCTCGCAAAGCACCAAAAATCGTGTCTGAGCCATCGCAAAGCCCTGCCTAGCTTTGCAAATGTGTTAGCAGTCATTTTTCTCCACCATGGTGATAAAGCTTTCTGTTTTCTAAGCTCAGCAAATGTCTGACCTTTTGTGTTTTTTTTAAGTGCTACTCAACTGCAGCTGAAGGGATTGGCATCAGTTCATTGACAGCCATAACATTCATGCTGAGGTTTACATGAGGACAGTCATAATTGTCAAATTCTTTTAGAAAGCTCTTCTGCCCTCTGGTGGGCCCAAGTGCCTATTACTGCCACCACATGAGTTCTTGGCACTGATCCTTTGACATTACATTTCTCCGTCCTCTTCATACTAGGAAAGATTGGTGATATCTGTTGCGGGGTGGGAAGAGAGACATGGCTGTTTTTTTGTAAGTGGCAGACTGAAATTTATAACTCTATAATTTGCTAGTGGAAATCTGGATTAAAGAGGCTCCTGATGCTACTTTCTGTTTGCTCAAGTGCCTTCGAAATCGTTGTTGTTGTTGTTAGTTGTTTAGTTGTGTCCGACTCTTTGTGACCCCATGGACCAGAGCACGCCAGGCACTCCTGTCTTCCACTGCCTCCCGCAGTTTGCTCAAACTCATGCTGGTAGCTTCGAGAACACTGTCCAACCATCTCGTCCTCTGTCATCCTCTTCTCCTTGTGCCCTCCATCTTTCCCAACATCAGGGTCTTTTCCAGAGAGTCTTCTCTTCTCATGAGGTGGCCAAAGTATTGGAGCCTCAGCTTCACGATCTGTCCTTCCAGTGAGCACTCAAGGCTGATTTCCTTAAGAATGGATACGTTTGATCTTCTTGCAGTCCATGGGACTCTCAAGAGTCTCCTCCAGCACAATAATTCAAAAGCATCAATTCTTTGGCGATCAGCCTTCTTTATGGTCCAGCTCTCACTTCCATACATCACTACTGGGAAAACCATAGCTTTAACTATACAGACCTTTGTCGGCAAGGTGATGACTCTGCTTTTTAAGATGCTGTCTAGGTTTGTCATCGCTTTTCTCCCAAGAAGGAGGTGTCTTTTAGGCCACGCTAAAGAAAATCTCTAATAGGCCACCCTAAACCTGTTGTGTGAAGGCCCTTTTTTGAAGATGGTAAGGCCAACGTAAACTAAGAGGAGGGTGGCAACAGGATGCCCAGTTTCTGTGGCTTTAAGGCCTTTTTGTGTTGCTAAATATATCCTACCCAAGAGATCACAGCATAGACAGTGTTAGAGTTTGGTGCCGTTAACGCCAAGGTTGCAGGTTTCATCCCTGTATGGGATAGCTGCATATTCCTACATTGTTGAAGGTTGGACTCGATCCTCAGGGTCCCCCTCCACTCTACAAAACTATGATTCTACGAAGAACAGACTAGTGGTCCCGCGTGGAGTTGAAAAATTAGTTGGCAGCTGGTACCTTAAGCTTAGGTAAAGGTAAAGGGACCCCTGACCATTAGGTCCAGTCGTGGCCAGCTCATCTTGCTTTATTGGCCGAGGGAGCCGGCGTACAGCTTCCGGGTCATGTGGCCAGCATGACTAAGCCGCTTCTGGCGAACCAGAGCAGCACACGGAAACGCTTCCCGCCGGAGTGGTACCTATTTATCTACTTGCACTTTGACGTGCTTTTGAACTTCTAGGTTGGCAGGAGCAGGGACCGAGCAACGGGAGCTCACCCCGTCTTGGGGATTCGACCTTCTGATCAGCAAGTCCCAGGCTCTGTGGTTTAACCCACAGCGCCACCCACATCCCTACCTTAAGCTCAGTCGCACATAATTTGTTGAAACTTGGACAGATTTGCTGCCTGAAAACCTAGAAAGCTGCTGCCAGCCTGTGTTGTACTGAGCTAGATGATCAGTAGTCTGATTCAGCAAAGAGCACATTCTTACGTTCCTAATCGTAGAATAGTAGAGTTGGAAGGTAGCCCAGGGGTCATCTAGTCTAACCACCTGCAATGCAGGGATCATGGCTCAAGAATCCCTGGCAGATGGCCATCCAACCTTTGTTTAAAAACCTCCAACAGAGGAGAGTCTACTGTCAAATTATCATGATGATGGAAGAGAGCATTGTAAGCTTCTGTCCCCTAGAGGGTAGCATTTCCTTGTGCAAGACCAGATCTCTAAATATACTGTTAGCCAGTAGTGATGGAAACTGGAAATAGTTGCAGGCTTACAGCAATCATGGAATTGCGGAGACCAAATGAGCTCAAAGGTCCTTCTCGGCAAATGCCCAAGGGAACAAGGAGCCAAAGACTAATTGAGAATCTGGGCCAGCTACTTATTAAAATACATGATGCAAGCTTTTTGAATCACACGGGTCTCTTCCTGTGTTTTGGTGGTGATAGACTTCTTACGCCAAGATGCAATGCATGATGCACGCACACACACACACTCCAGGGTGTTTGCTTTTTTGTTCCTAATATGCAATGCTGGTGTACAAACTGGCAGCCACGGCTGTGTTGTGCAGTATGAGTTCTGCTGATACATCCAACATTGGTCCTAGAATTAAGCTGTCTGAAAATCTTCGACGTCTGTCGAGTTCCTAGTCTTCATGGCTGCAGTGAGTTGCTGGAAATTGTGTACCAAATGGTTCCTGAAATCTCTGAAGACAGGACTTGCTTCAGTAAGACTATCGGTGGCTGGGACTCTGTGTAGCCCCCTCTCTTGCGGAATGACTCCCCTGATTTGCAAAATGAGAAAATTTGTAGATTTGCATAATTTATACAGGCCGCAGAGCTGAGCTTTCCTTGTTGCTGTTTGGTTTTTTAAATGCAGAATACAAACAGCCTTGCTAATTAAGCAGGCTGTGGGATTGCAGGTTTAATTAGGTTTCATATGGGCTGGCTGATAAGGGAAGAATTTATATAGTACAAAAGGAAATGAAATAATAGACGACCCCCCCCCCATTTTTTTTATACAAGAAAGGGAAAGAGAGAGTAAACAAACATGATTCTTAAGAAAGAAAGAAAACCTATGGAAAAATTATTTGATCATATTGAATGGTATTTTAGAATTCTAAAACTTTAAAGGGAAAAGAATAAAAGAGACCAGCTGCTTTTGGACAATCAAATCTTGGTTGTTGTTTGGGACGACATCAGCCCTGGCCAAGACAGCCATATAATACTGGAGCTGACCAGAGTTGTACTCCAAAGCACCTGGAGGGCACCAGGCTGGTGAAGACTGGCTTCTTATAATAAACCAAGATATGCACAAACTTCACACATCAAAATGTAGCTGTTTTTCTCCTCCCTCTCTGCAAGCCAGGAAGCAGCAGTTAACCGTAGCTTTCTGTTACAGCCAAACCAGGAAACTATGGTGAGCAGAACAATCCAAAATGGGGCCTGGTGTTGAGTTTGCGTTTTCCTTTTTTCTTGCTTTTCTGGCTTGGTTTCAGTCATTGGAATTTATTGATTATTTAGATTGTGTGAGAGAGTGAAAGACAGACAGAGAGCGAGAGAGAGAATGAATGAATGAATGAATGAATGGTGGTTAGAGTGTCATCCTAGAACCCAGGAGACTAGGATTCAAATCTTCATTCCACTGTGAAGCTCGCTGGCTGATCTGGTGCCAGTCGCCATCTTTCAGCCTAACCTACTTCACGGAGTTGTAAGGATGAAACAGAACCATGTACGCTACCTTGAGCTACCTTGATGAATACATAATACATAAAGCACCTCAAAAGAACTGAAAAGATTCTCCAAATAAATACAGTAAATTAACTAACCCTTCTCTGCCTGTCTCCATCTTCCCCGCAGGCGATGGAGACAACTTTGCTCCCGAAAGAAGGCAGCCACAAAGCAAGCCATGAGCCGACACTGCCCGAATCCAGAGTGCGGAACCACAAACAGCGCCTCGACCAGATTGTGAAGAGAGCCACATTTGAGGAGAAGGTGAGGGCAGCGTCCAAGCACTGCAGGCAGCAGAGGGCCATAGCACAGGGCATCTTGCAGTGCCAGCACAGCCTGGCAGCTTGTGCCTCATTCCCTTTGCTGTGATTCTGTCTCGCATAGTTGAGAAAGGGCCCTATCTTCAGGGCAGCAATTCTGCCGGGTCTTGTCCCAGTGCACGTGTGAAGCTCTCCTTTCTTCTTTTTGCTGTCCAGTCCTAGAATTGTCAAGTTGGAAGGGACCACAAGGTCCTTCTAATCCAACCCCCTGCAGTGCAGGAATCTTTTGCCCAGTGTGGAGCTCAAACCCACGAGCAGCAGTGACGAGGTCTGGGCTGCACAGGTGCACTGGTGGAGCCAATGCAGCAAGTCCAACTGGTGCCACCTGCACAACTTCCACCTGGCAGCCATCATATTCCCCATCCTCCCAGTAAATGGCAGCAGCACCGCTGCTGGGAGGCTATTATTGCAGCTCCACTGCACTGGGGAGCCAGTCCTGATGTCCACTGGTTTGCGGTAAAAGCGGGATGGTGGCTTCTTGAGGACGGGTGGGTGGCGATTGTAAAGATCAGCAAGGCCACTTTTATGTTAGCATGAGAGCCAATGCTGGCTTCTAGGTGCAGCTCAAAGGTACAGGAATATGCTGCATCCCAAACAGCCTTTTCCACAAGGCTGAAGCCAGGTTGCAGACCTTGTGCATAGCATTCTTTTTCACTAAAAGAATGATGACTTCACCAATTTGTGGTAAGGAAAAATCCATGCCAAATTGCTGTCCTATGAGATCTCGCCCACTGAATTGCTCAAACTGGATCTAAATGTGGCAAAAAGGTGTATAAATCAAAGGCTGGATGATGTGGAGCTATACCAAAATTTCGTAGCTGGTGGTGGAGTCTGCTCGCCATTAAATTTCGGCATAACCCCTATCTACCGCGCTCCGTCCTACTTAACATCGCTTACGGCCGCGTCTCACCGATATGCCTTCATTAGAGCTAGGTTTAATGTCTTTCCAACAAACGTGTTGAGACATAGATTCACTAAGGGCCAAGTCCCTTCAATGTGTGCGTGTGAAATGAAAACATCTGAATCTCTACATCATGTTATGTTTATCTGCCCTTTGTACAGTTCAGCCCGTGCTAGTATACTAAACTCCATAATCCAGCCTATGGCTGACAAATCAGTAGACCTACAGCTGGCCTGGGTTCTTCAAGATGTGGATCCTTATATCACCCTACAGGTTGCTAAATTCCTAACAGCCATCCTCTCGTACAAGAGACGGAATGGAATGTTAGCTGATTATTGATAGTTATAAGAATTTTCTATAATTACATGAGATATTGATTTTAGTGTAGTGCCTAAATTTTTTATTTTTTTTTAAATCTTAATGTTAAACTTTTCTTATGAATGGCTAATATCTGTCCTTCTGAGTTGAGAACTGTGTTATACTACTTGTGGCTTGTACGAGTCCACTGTTTTATTTGATCTGATTTGTTTTTATTTGTTTTGTTGTGTTGTGTTGTGTTTCATGATGGGCATAAAGCCGAATAAACATTTTGATTGATTTCACTAAGAGAACAGTACCTGGGACAGTTAAGGGAGAGGTGCGGATAATAAAACTAATTTATCCACTGGGTTGGTGAACCTACAGAAAGCTGCCTTATACTGAGTTAGACCCCATAGTATTGTCTGCATTGACTGGTAGCGGTTCTTCAGAGTTTCAGGCAGGGAGTCTCTCCCCAACCCAACATGGAGATCTTCTGCATTCAAAGCAGATGCACTGAGCTATACAGCCTTTCTCTTGAGGCTGCCTGCTGCCATGCCATGGATAGGATGGTCCTTCACTTGAAGTTGTGCAATGCTATAGTGTGATGCCTGCAAACTAGATGTCCCTTTGCTGGGGGGCGGGGGCTTATTTGTTTTGTTTTGTTTTGTTTTATACTTTATTGTTTTGTTAACCAAGAAAAAAAGTGCAGTCCTAACAAAAAAACCCCAAAGAATCAAAAATCTGAACTTTAAAGTACAAAGATACAGCGTAGCTCCAAAGGGATAGTAAAATATTAATAAATACAAAAATTCCCTTTATAAAGTTTTATAAAAATACAAGTATTCTCGACTTGTAAGTTCCATCATTATTGAGAATAAAGTTTCTGCATTGTCTTAAATAAGCTAGACATTGACATATACTGGTGGCGCTGAGTGACCATGCAGTTCACTATTTATATAAGAAATAAAATGATGCCATAGATACTAAAAATTTGTCATTCAAGCTCTCTGCCTTTTAGTATATGAGATACCTTTTCCATAAGGCAATTCACCAAGCCCTTGAATGCCAGCAATCCAAATTATTAAGGTTAAAAGCCTTCCAGGATTGGGCAATACTTTGCTGGTTTTGCAGTGTCCGCTGCCAGACATTCCTTGGTTTGGAGAGTTGTTCTCCAGGAAACACAATGGGGTCTGCCTGGTAGCTATTTGCATGGGTGATCATCAATGAGCAAATGTCTCTAGATGCATCAGAACACATTCCAGGGTAAACCCGCATTCTGTAGTTATGCTGGAAGTCCTGTGCAAAGCTCCGTGCCCATGTGACATTGGGTTTCTCTGAGGAAACCAGGCAGATGGATTGCCTTTAACAACTGTGGGTGATGTGGGGAGTAGATGGTGCACTCTCATAATGGCTTCTGTTCCTTTCCGCAGCCAGAAACAGATTTCTTTGGCCGTGCGATTGTCAAGAAAAATGTGTCTCCGTCGGCAGGTATGTTCTGGGGTGGGGAGGAAATTTCCGTCAGCAGGGGGAGGGAGACTGGGCTTACTGAAGTGGATAGATGGTGCCAGCAGAGAAGATGTTTTAGCTGCCTTGGTACATACACACAGGGCCTTCTCTGTGGTGGCCCCTAAGTTGTAGAACTTCCTCCCCACAGAGGTCCATCTGGTGCCTTCATTATACAGCTGAGGTTGAACCTCTTTGTCCTGACTTTGCCTCTATAGTGTTGTGGTTAAGAGTGATTATCTAAGACCTGGGAGATCAGTTGCATAATCAGTTTGCAGCACTAATGGAACATTTGTGGCCCTCCACATGTTATTGGACTACAACTCCCATTTTCCTTGACCATTAGTCATGCTGGCTGGGACTGATGGAAGTTGGAGGTTAAGAACGTCTGAAGGACCATAGGCTCCCATCCCTGAAAATTCCTTCATCAATATTACGTCTTTCTTTTTCCTCTTTCTCAACAGCCAATCAGGAACCTGAGAAAAACCGAATAGAAAAACAAATTGGGAAGGCTGTTGGGCAGAGCGATGTTTGGTTCCGGTTCAACGAAGGTGTCTCCAATGCAGTTCGGAGAAATATTTACATTAAAGATTTGTTCTAGTGAATGAAACGTGGGCAGGCAGCACGTGAGTCAGCTGGCATGTGGGTACCATGTAAGGATATTTTGATCAAAAATGTTTATGTATGCTTTTGTATTGAAGCCTGTTTTATATATAAAAAGAAAGGAATAAATTTGAGACATGCACAGTATCACTTTCTTTATTTTGCTTAGAAGCCCTTCTCACATTTGCTTAGCTTTTTTTTTTTAACTGCAAAACGGTATATCCTACAAGATACAAAAAAAAGTATTTAAAGTAATCAAAAATTCTTTTATAAAACTTGTGTTGTTCCTTTACAAGTCCCCCCCAAAAAGACAAAAAAAGAATTGCAGGTGTATAGGAAAGAGAAACTACAGGGTTCATAAAGCTGCAAATTTTGCTTAGTTTTTGTTGTGATTCCTGCATTGCAGGGGTTTGGATTAGATTATTCTTTTGGGTCCCTCCCAACTCTACCATTTTATTATCCTGTGTTGCATCCAATGTCCCTATATCTTCCCAGATGCTGGTGCCAAAATTCAAAACAGTGGGGTCTCTTTCACATCCGTACTCTCTTCAGTGATTGTTCCCAAATGGTGAACAGGGGCACCCACTAGTGTGCCACTAGGACAGAGTGTGACATGCCTTGAGAAAGGGTGATCCACTCTTAGATATCTCCTTCGTCTGTAAAGACTGGAAGACCTCATTCAGCACCGATTCTGCTACCCAGCACTGCCAACATATGAACAGGAAGGAAGCAATTCTACATGCACCTGGATTCTCTCATGCAGCCTAGACCATAGCTGGTGGGTAGAAGGGAACCCCCAGAAGCATCACCATTGCTCCAGAAAGTACATAGGTATTCCTGAGCCCCAGCTCCCTAGGCAAAGGGGGGAAAGTTGGATTTGGAAGGAGGTGCAATGGACTTGATTGTACAACATTTGCAGGGAGGATGCCTGCCTGTTCTGTGAAATCTGTATGTCAGTGGTTTGAAGTGCACCTCCCATTTTAACCCAGGGGAAGGAAGAATGCTCTGCCCCAAATCATACAAATGAGGGAAACCTTTAATTAGCCACTATATGAACTCAACTGTACTAGCGGGGGGGGGGGAGGTAAAGGTGTGAGTTTAGCCATAGTGAGGAACTAAAATAAAAATTTTATACATTAAGTTTTCATGCAATTTTGAGTATCTCCAAAGGAAGCCATTTTTATTTATCGTGGACGAAATTTTGGGAGGCAGTGGGTTAGAGGATGGTGCATTTCCCCTTTTCCACCCATGGATTGTTCTTCATCAGCTCTGGGTTCAGAAATGGATCTTCTGGAATGCCATCTTCTATCCACTTAAGAAATCTAGGGTGGAAAGAGAATACATGAGGGTCTTTCCTCGTTGCAGTATTAGGCCAACGTCTGGCTGAGTCCAGAGTATCTTGGGCCTGGTCCCAAATCTCATGTCCTTCTCTCCCTTTTTTAAACTTTAAAAAAAAAATTCTCCTGAATTATATCTCCCCATCATCTATGGCCATACTCGCTGGGGAGTTGAAGTTCAGCATCATCTAAAGGCCACAGGCTTTACAAGGTAGATGGGTTGACAGCAGAGTGCTGGGCCAATGAGACCTGAACTACATACCATCTTATTGTACCCAGAGGTACTCTGTACACAGATGAAAACTTGTGAACTGAAGCTTCTCAGGTACCTAGAAAGATCCCAGGCCTGCATCTATTTCTGTTGCTGTGATGTGTATTTCTAGAGCCAAATATTTTAGGGAAAGCTCTTCATTCTTAATATTCATGTTCCTGAGTAGCTTTTAAATACGTTTGCTAGCAGGAAACGCACAGCTAGAGGATTTTGAGGGTGGCAGAGTGTCTGCCCTCAAAAGCCTCCACTTTCTCATAGGACAGCAGCCCCCAGGGTTTCTCAAGAGAGAAGGATACAATGCACAGTGGTGTTGGCAGCTCAGTATTGTCCACACTGACTGGCAGCAGCTCTCCAGGGTTTCAGGCCAGAGCCCCAGCCCTACCCAGAGATACCATTGGGGATTGAACCCGGGACCATCTGCATTCAAAGCAGGTGCCCAACATTAGGTGTTTCCCACTCCATTTCAAGCCTATCTTTGTCGCTACTGGGGCTAGAAACCTGAGAGGGAGGTTTAAAGTAAGCCTGATGTTCTTAGTATGCTGGATTCCACTTATGTGGAATGCACTTAGCCGTGTGTGTATAAGGTGGTAGGAAGGAGAAATAGCAAGAAAGGAAGCTGTTTGTGGACTCACTCGGGGATCGTTTTTGAGGACATCTCCCTCTTGTAAGCCAGCTGGTACTTAAGGCTTTCGACTTCCTTCTTCCACTGAGGGGCTTCCCATTCATCCATGGGGCTGTGGCTTGGTGGCTGTTCGGGTCAGAGAAGGAGAAGCGTCAACCTAGGCAGAAAATTAAAAATGGTCAGTAGATTTTAATTGACTCGTTTGTCCCTCTTCCAAGGAGTGCATGCTGGAGCGCCCCCCCCCCCCCCGCACGCAAGAAATTACCCTAACCTATTTAGCAAGACTGTTGTGAGTATAAGAAGTAGTGACTGAGCTAAGGTTGGTCAGCAAGCTTCATGGCAGAGATTTTGAACCATGCTTTCCTTTCCAACTAACACTAAACATTGCATTGCTCCTGAGCATACTCAACCCTCCCGGGACTTTTTGGTGCTTTGAATCTCCCCTTCCCTCACTCCCAAGTTTTATTTTTATTTTTTTAAGATTGTTTATAGATATTGCAAACCTCAGAGCTTGTATTTGAGAGAGAGGAAAAAATATACGGGTTACATAAAAACAAACATACCTACAGCATTCAATAATATGTCCTAAAAATGAGATAAATCCTGAATCCACAACAATACACCAGTGCACACACGTTTCCCAGCATCCTGTTGGCTCTTGGCACCCGAGTTTCCTACAAAGGGACTAATGTCGGTTAAAGAAAGATTGAACTAAAATAAGAATTGGTCCAAGTTGTCTCTAGGGCAGGCTGCCTGCTGATCAAGTAAAATAGCCTGACTTTGCATCAAGCAAAACTTTTCAAAGGACAGAGCTCTAGAGAGGGAACAGGAGGTGTTAACACCCACAATTGATGCATCAGGGAAATTGGGACTAATGGCCATGTTGGATCTTGCCTTTGCATATACTTTGTTTCCCCAAGCACTGATGGGAAAGGACTGGATGTGGGTCAGTTTGCAAAACCATCCTAAAACATCTGCTGCTTCCAACACAACCAAAGGTTGAAATGTTGGCCCTGGGAAGGAACCTTCCCCACCCCCCTGAGATGGAATTTCTTTCCAGTTAGCCTTCTGAGCTCAGTGCCCCTGAATCCATCACAAAATACCCATTTCACAAAAGGAAAAACTGGTGATGCTCAGATCCTCCGCCATCACACCCACAAAAGCAGAAAAAAATCTACCCTCCCACAAAAACACAGACAAAAAGAGGAAGCAACTACCCAAAGCAAAAATTAAAAGCTCAGAAACTAAATTTAAAAATAAAATAAAATTGGGAGGGGCAAAAGATGTTGCAGTAGTAGTACAGAACATCCGGAGGACATCAAGTTGGACAGGCTGCCTTAAGTTCTGCATTGCAGGGGGTTGGACTAGACTCCTGGGGTCGCCCTCCAACTCTGCAATTCTATTATTCTACGTAATCTTTCATATGGTAACCACTGTGGGCAAGATGACAAGTGGAAATACAACAGATGTAGCAGGTGCCTTTCCTACCTTTGGTGACAAACTTTGGTGTAATGATCAATCTCCCTTTGAGCCTCCGGTTGCCCTGGTTCTGCATCTCCACAAGCCTTTGGCACTACAGTGGTACCTCAGGTTAAGTACTTAATTTGTTCCGGAGGTCCGTTCTTAACCTGAAGCACCACTTTAGCCAATGGGGCCTCCTGCTGCTGCCGCACCACCGGAGTACAATTTCTGTTCTCATCCTGAAGCAAAGTTCTTAACCTGAGGTACTATTTCTGGGTTAGCAGAGTCTGTAACCTGAAGCGTATGTAACCTGAAGTGTATGTAACCCGAGGTACCACTGTATAACCTCAGCAGGTCAAGCTCTCTCCCATCACCACATTATTCCCCATGATCTCACCTATTACATTTCTGCTAATCACACAAAGTCTAACTGTGCTAAGTGGCTTTCTTTCAGGTCAGAGATGGCCATCCTATGCCTGGTGGATTTGGGGGAGGGGCTCTTTGAGAGGGTGGGCAAATGCCCAGCAAAAAAGAGTTCCTATGCCTTTAAACCGGGAGTGGGGATCAAATACATCTCTCTTCATCCAGACAAGCCAGAGACACTGTAGGAGTTCAAGGGCATGTTCCAGCCAGGCAAAAAACACTCAAGGAGGATGTGAAGAAAGGAGAAGAAGAAGAAGAAGAAGAAGAGGAGGAGTTTGGATTTGATATCCTGCCTTTCACTCCCCTTCAGGAGTCTCAAAGCAGCTAACATTCTCCTTTCCCTTCCTCCCTCACAACCAACACTCTGTGAGGTGAGTGGGGCTGAGAGACTTCAAAGAAGTGTGACTGGCCCAAGGTCACCCAGCAGCTGCATGTGGAGGAGCGGAGACACGAACCCTGTTCCCCAGATTACGAGACTACCGCTCTTAACCACTACACCACTCTGGAGAGTGAGGGGAGTGGTCTGGAGAGAGTCCAAAGGGCCAGATAGAGAAATCTGAAGGGCCAGATTTGACTCCTGGGCCTGAAGTTCCCCACTCCTGCTTTAAATTGTGCAGAAAGGAGATTTTCCAGGGCCCTCAACTCTAAAAACGAACTCCTGGGGAAAGCTAGCATGAGCCTTTTGTCCCAGATTAAAGGCAGGACTATGTGTATTTTAAAACAACATAATCTGCCCCCCAAGAGTGAGTGCTGTGTCCTTGCGTACATTTAGTAAACTAGACATTGTTTGCATAGTGTTAAATGGCAAAAGTTAGTTTAGTTATGGGGCAAGGAACTGCCTTGGTCCCTGAAAGCCACCCTCTACACCTCCACTGGGATCCTCATTCAGCAATGGCTCTCACAGCCTCTCATTGGCTGTGGACACAAGCAAATGGAATTTGAGAAACCAGTTTTCATAAGGTCTAGGAAAATGGATCTGTTAAAAATAAAAGTCAAAGCAAAGTTTTCTCTGGAAGCCAAAGTGTGTTCTTTTGCTGCGCTTGCAGAGACTGGCAGTCACTATTAGACAAGGAGTCTATGTCTCCTTTGCAAATAATTCTATGGGGTGAGTGTGAGAGTCCCTGGTGATGACTCTGAAATCCAGAGCTGGGAAGCCCTTTGAGGTTGGAGCTATCTATCTGAGGATGACCCCAGCATACGCAGTATTTCAAAGTAGGCTGTGGGGCCAGGCTTATGGGAAAGTGATGCTCCCCCCCCCATCCTATGATTTGCATAGTTTTACCTCTTGGTATTAGCATTTAACTAACAAATCCTTCTAAATGCTGTCTCCTGCAGGAGGGTCTGAGGAAGGGGAGGGGAAGAGAGCAAGCAGCTGTTGCTGGCTTGATGGAAATGAGAGATTAACTCCCTAAGCAAATCGCTGTTTGACAGTACTGTGGTTGATGGTGAACGAGGGGGGGGGAGAGGTAGGGGTTAAGCTCCACAAAACCAACATATTGCCAGATTGTTTCCAGGGGGGATAGTTTAACACAGCCACACACAGCAAGTTGTTGGCCAAACAGTTCTGCCTGAGCAGCTTTTGTTGGTTGGTTTATCAATGGGAATTTGATTCATTAGTTTACTACTTCCTTAATCAATGGGAGGCTGTACATTAAGGAATCCTACTCAGAGCAGACCCACTGAAATGAATGTTAGTCATGTTGATTAACTTCAATAGGTCTACCCTGAGAAGGACCGGCACTGGATGCCACCCATATTTCATTATTATTTTCAATATGGTTTTGGCTCTGTGATTAGGGGATGAAAAATATATCCTTCGGGGTGCCATTTCCTGCTAAGAATGGGTTGTCACCAGTGTTGATGTTACTCAGAGTAGACCTATTCAAATAATGGGCATGGCTAGCCTAGGTTTATGTACTTTAATGGGTCGACTCTGAGTTGAGTATAACACACCAGAGCTACCTCCCAAAGGGCATCTGTGTTCATATTACTGTTGTCCACATTTATATTACTGAATCAAGTCACAGTTGGTTAGAGTGTGGTGCTGATAATGCACAGGTCACAGGTTTGATCCCCTTATGGGACAGCAGCTTATTCCTGCATTGCAGGGGGGTGGACTAGATGATCATGAGGGTCCCTTCCAACTCTACAATTCTATACCTGCCTTTTAACTGAGGGGCCAACTATTGAATCCATTGAGAACACTGAGGTCTTATCCAACTTCATACCTTCCAGAAGTTCTGGATCACAAAACCCATCTGTTCCAGCCAGCACATGGGACTCATTGCTGTAGTCCAAAACATCTGAAGGGAACCACCATAAATGCATTTCTTTCTAACTAGTGTATTGGCCAGGAAGCCTCCAAAGAGGAAGGGGCAAATGACGCCGACATATGTTTGATGTCTAAAACCACTAAAATCATTATATCTGAAAGGCCACATATTACGTTCAAGCACAGCTGCTGTTTTCCCAACCCAAGTTTTCACTGGCACAGGGTGGGGTTGGGAACAGGCAAGGAGAGGACAGGAGACAGCCTATGCCAGCAATACTGCAGCTAAGGTCTCCTTGCTATTTGTTTCTGCAAATATGTCTTTCATATTTGACCCATGACAGGCTCTTTTCAACGGCAATTGTCCGGTTATGAACTGCACTCCCTAATGAGGTGTGACCGTCTCCATCGTTATCAACTTTCAGGAAGAATTTGAAAACAATCCTGATTCTCTAGCTCAGCTAAAGTGTACATAATAATGCATACAGCATGCAAACGATATACATTAGGGGAAATTACTTTTCAAAATGTGTATATTTTGGCCAAATTGCATATAAACATGCATATTGAGAGAAATTTGCACTAAAATGCATTTTAAACACGCTTTTAAAAAAAATATTCTCAAACCAAACTTAAGACTAGACAAATGAGAAACTATCTTATGAAATAAACAGATAATAAATTTTATAAGAACCTGATTCTGGACAAGTATGGACTGTCTCAATGGCTAGATATTTGCAGGGGTGAACAGAGAACAAACACCTACCTTAGCAGTCCAGCTCCTGCCCTGTAGAAACTCAGCCCTCTCACACCAGGGCTTGAAAAGGCTGCCACTTTGCATGCATCACACACATTGCCATTTAACTAAGCAATCTCCGGGTCTGATTTGATTGCAATTTGAATAGTATGAAAAGCTATCGGGTCAAGAGAGATGCTGCGTCACATCTGCTAAGGAGCAGGACATCAGGTTGTACCCAAACTTATTTCTAAGCAGTGTAGCCCCACTGAAATTACTGGCCATGACTAGCAAATTCAGTAATTTCAATGGGTCTATGCTGTGCCTAACTTAGGTGGATATAAGCCCAACCATCTAAGACAGTCTTCCCCAACCTGGTGCCCTCCAAATGTTTTTGGACTACATCTCCCCATTAGGCACAGCCAAGCCCATTTCTTCTGGGAAAGGGTGGTAAGCTCAGTGGTGGAACGGGTGCTTTGCATGCAGAAGGTCGCAGGTCCATGAGGACTGCAATTTTACATGCAGAGGGTCCCCGATTTAATCCCTGGCATCTCTGGGGAAGGCTGAGGAAAGGCTCCAGGCTAAGACCCTGGAGGGCCTCTGCCGGTCAGTGTTCACAAAACTGGGCAAGTTGGTGAGACTCAGTATACGATGACTTCCTATGTTCCTATTTAAATTGTCCCTTTATTCAGACCCATGAGGACTGGGATCTTAGTTCAGTAGTACAGCACCAGCTCTGCACATGCAGAGGTTCCCAGTTGCAATCAAATGCTTTATGCCCAAAACAGGAGTCCGGACTCCACCCAAGTGTTGAGCTAACCCAAAATTAGCAGATCCATGCCCAGCACAACATACTCCATAACAAACACACCAGAGCATCAGGGACCTTGAGTGCATCAGTCGGCCGTGCCAACGCAGCTAGTCCATTGCGTTTCATCTCCCTCTGGGCGAAGGCACAGTTGAAAAACAAACAAGCTTTAAGAGCTCAAATGAATCCACACAGGACAGCAAATTTCAGACGCCCTCCCCAGATGCCATTCTCTGGGGCTGCAGTAGATCCTGGGGCACATCCCGGGATCCAGTCTCTGGTTGTGTGGCATGGCGGAGGAGTCTCGATCTTGCTCTAGAACAGCAGTGCATCTAGGGAGTTTCCTAACCTGGACTTACTGGTTTTACTGGGCTTCCCTGTAAGACAGTCATGTACACACACTTCACATTTCATCATTCACCCATAATACCATGCTTTACAACTGCTTCTACATTCCTGATATGCCAGAACACACACAAAAAAAGGGAAAAGGAGCATTTGCCAACCCTGAGAAATATGTGCTACTTTTCATTTTAAACTCACTTAAAAATCATAACACCATCATGTCTACAAGGATAAAAATGGGGATTGCTTCTGCTGCTAAAAACCAAATGGCATAGGAATGAGCACCATTTCGTTGTTGGAAAAGATGATACATCTTTTAAAGTAAAAATAATTGTCAGCATTGCTTAAAAGACGCCAAGCAGAAATAAGTTCCTTTTTCAATAGTAACATCCCTCTCTGTTAACCAGGCCAGGAATACACATACATTTCTCTCTCGCAGGAAGCATGTGCTGCATCCTTTAGCTCAATGGTAGAGCATTAGATGGTCCCAGGTTCAATCCTCAGCATCTCCAGGGAGGGCTGTGAAAAGACTCCTGTCTAAATTCATGGAGAGCCGCTGCCAGTCAGTGTAGAAAACACTAGGTGAACCAACCATCTGACTTGGTATAAGGCAGCTTCCCACATTCCAACTGCCAGATGTCTCTGGAAGCATGAAGGTGGCAGCTACCTGGTTTTGCTTGCCCCCTCCTCCAGCATCTTGATACTCAAAAGATATACTATTCCTAGACATGGAAGTTTCCTTTAATTATCATTAATTTCCCGTCAATGGGCCACATCCAATGTTATCCCTACTCAGAGTAGATCCACTGAGATTAATACACAACTAGCTTGGATTCATTGATTTCAATGTAACGACTCTGAGTAAAACGTGGTTAGATTCAGCGAAAAGATGATAAAAAGTCAGAAATTTGTAAGAGTAGAGATGGGGAAAGGCCTTGGTCTGGAGGTCAAAACCAATCCCTTTTTTTTTTTTTTTGTAACCAGAAATATTCACCCCATCTATTGGCATGATGTTTTATTAATAAAAGAAGTCAAAACCAGCAACCTACCTTGGAAGAAGCAGTATGGGCTTAAAAGACCAAAGAGGGAAAGTTGTGTGTTTGTTCTTTTTCTTTTTGAAAGGAAGATTTTCCCCACTGAAGAAGATTGTGCCCACCTAAAAAAAGGCTCAAAACAGCTTCCCAGGACTTTCAGCCGTACGCTCGCCTCTCCAAGCAGAACCCTCCGTTGCTGTTAACAATCTGAAATCCTGAATGTAATCTATTAAAGTCTGCCCAGCTGCCTCCCAAAAGGGAAAGAACAGGGATAATGAGAAATCCCACCCCCCCCCAGCCTCCTCCCTCCCGCGGGTGCTCTGTTTAGCAGCTTGGAGCCCAGATAAGCTGAGAAAGAGAAAGTGCACCCTTTGTCTTCCACGGGTAGCGATCGCTCCAAATGCCCTCTTACAACAGGTTCTGCTGAAACAAAGCCATGGGGATAAGGTGCTGAGGTGGCTGTCTCATTAGAGGGATCGGGATGGAGGCAAAGGATGCTTGGGCTGCCATAGATACCTCTTCCCCTCTCTTAAGAACAGCTCCTTAATTGCATCCCTGGGGCCTGGAGGGATGGGTGAGGAACACCTAAAGATGCACACCGTGGGCAAAAGCAAAACAAGTGTGTTATATATCACTATTTCTGGTGCACCTGCTTAGCAGGCCTAGCAAATAAATAAAACCAATCACCATCATGGTAGGGGATTGGCTCTGTAGGCCAATTTATTTATTTATTATTATTATTATTACATTACCCACCCTTCACTAGAAGATTCCAGGGTGGGTTGCAACAATTTAAAATCCAGAATTAAAAAGTTAAAACAGATCTGTCACAGGAATAGGGCGGACTCTGAAAACACACATCTCAGGTAGAGCATCAGATGAAGCCACAGAGAAGGTCCTCTCCCAGACTACTTATGAGGGCAGAGGAACTGTCAAGAGGGCCCTCTTTGCTGATCTTAACCTTGCTGAGCATCAGAAGAGCATCACCCCTCTCCTATAGGATTTATATAATGCGTTTGACGTGGACAGCACCAGATTTAGGGTGGTGCAGGTGGTTCCCTCACACAGGGCATCGGACCGAGGGGGTACAAAATTGGGAGCACCAAATTTTGGCCTCACACAGGGTGCCTTATTATGAAAGATTGCCCATGGGGCTGCCCTTGAAGACGGTCTTGAGGCTGCAGCTAATGCAGAATGTGGCTGCTGAGTTGGCAAGGGGCTCAGCCCAATGGGATCATGGGCCACTGATTCTTCTGAGAATGCCTCACTAACTGGGTAGCAAGCTACCAGGCCCTTTTCAAAGTGTTAGTACTGGTGTACAAAAGTCCTAAACAGCTGGGGACCAAAATACCTGAAAGAGTGCCTCCAGTATTATCAAGCTTGTCAGGCCATGAAAGGACCTCCTTGGTGGTGGCTCCCCATTTCCAGAATGTCCTCCCAGCTGAGTGTGCCTCCCTCCCTCATTACTAACATTTAGCAGGAATTTAAAAATATTCCTGTTTACTGAGGCATTTGATGGCTAAAAGCTACTGTTCCCTGTGACCTTGAAATTACTAACAGTAATGGTATATTTTAAAATATTTCTATGCATTCTTAACATTTTTAAATATTTCATTTGTAATTGTATTGTTTTACTGCTTTGCTGTTTGCCATCCAGAGCTCCCTCAGGAAAGATTGGATTGGATTGATCTTTATTACGGCCATTGGCCCGTTACACGACAGTTTCCCATACCAACATATTATACTTAAACCTCCAGGACTTCCGGGTTGGCGCGATCCGGGAATGGCGGATTCCCTCCGAGCTCCGGAGGGAATCGGCTCAGCGGTGGATGGGTCTTTGCCGTGCCGGCGACACGGGGACCCTTAAAAACCGCAGGTGCAGATGCCTGCGGACTGAAGACTCGGCGGGTGCCTTAAGCGCCCCCCCTGATTCGCGAAGAGCCTTTTTAAAGGCTATGGAGGGGATACGGGGGACGGCGCGGCACTGAGAGTCGATCGCTACCGCCGCTGAGCGAAGCCGCGAGCCATAACTGGAGAGCGCTGACTTCCTTCCTTGAAATTCGGACTGAAAAAAAAAGAACCCGTGAGTAATTTGGAACTGAGCTTTAAAAACTTTTACCTTTTGAATTTGAGACGACCGGGGGGGTGTGCCAAAAGGAAGTCCCCATCCCCCCCCCTTGCAGACGATCCAGAGCAACGATATAAGAGCTAAGCTGGAGTGCCTACCCTGCAAAGGGTGAGTTTTAAAAAAAGACAGTAACTTCCAAGATTTGGAAAAGCAAATTTAAGCAGGAGAGTGGAGTGTTGGAAGAGTTTTCTTTTTGTGGTAAACAACCCTCCCTCCCGAGCCCGGGAGCGATCTGCTTTGGAGCCTGTATAGAGGAGCAGAATTTGACAGCTGTCAAAGCTGTCAAATGGACTGTTAATACTGAAAAAATTGCTACTTAAGACCTCTCCGGATAAAAAGGAGTTACAATTGAACTAAAATTTTGGGAAACAAAGAAACAATAATAGGACAGAGGATTGTTGGAGAAAAGATCATCCAGTAACCAGATTCCCTCTAGGGGGAATTCTGTGGAATTACAATGGCTGTGGGCGGAAAGATACTGAGAGAAATCGAAAGGATGTTTTCACTGGTGGGAACCTTACAGGAGCAGACTACAGCTATGAGTAAACAACTGATGGCCTTGGATTTGGAAACAAGTAGCTCTGCTGAATGTAATGAGGACTTGAATGAGAAAGAACCCACAGCTGAATTTGAAATAATAAACAAAGAGGAGGAGAAGACAAAACAAGAAAGAGAACAAGTCATGTGGGAAAATACTAACCAGAAGCCGATATTTGGAGAATACAAACAAGGAGACTATTGGATGGAATCTATTCCAAGCCTACGAAAGATACAGAAGAGGAAAGTGGAGGCCCTGGGAGTTTATGGAACTCAGGAATTCGAAATAAAGAAGTACAATTGGGGCCTCCACATAGACTTTGATTTTGACCATCACCAAGACTCAGGCCTTGTGGAAATTCCTCAGCAGTTGCTTATAAATATGGGAAGAGACTATGGACTGATTGGATTGAATGTTAATGAAATCTTTCGAGACTCGATGACTGACAAAGAGGACTACCAACAAAACCGGCGGAGAGGGACTGAAATAGATTTGAGAGCCTCGGATGTGCGGAATCCAGGCTAAGAACTGTTATTTTGGACATGTCTTGGGAAAGGACGCAAAGCGGGGATGGGAGGGAGGGAAGCATAAACTTAAATAACACTCAAGACCAGGGGTTTAGTAATAAGGAAATTACTTAAGAAAAAATGAGAAATCGAGGGAAGAGAATTGGGGTCCAACTTAGGGAAAACTTATTTTTTGTTTCTATAAAAGGACTAATATTAAGAAGGAAGAAATGCTAACTTGCTGACATAAACCTGGGAACAGGGATGCAAGGGAGGGGGTGGGGGGAAGTCAAGGACTAGGGTTAGAAAATAAGACTTTTTGGAGCTATTCATGTTTGCTGTTGTTGTTTTTTTTTGTGTTTGTTTTGGTGTTATGTGTTTTGTTTTTGTCTTTATAAAATGTGAAAACCCAATAAAAATTATTAAAAAAAAAAAAAACAAATTTAAAATCGCAAAACTTACAAAAGACAAACAATAATCGAAGCAAAACAAAAACAAAAACCACCATCATACAAAAACAGAAACCACCATCATACATTGCAATAAATTTGTAACCTATACATCGCCCTCTGCTCATAAATTAATCAGGGATATCAATGGTGATATCGCCTAAAACATAGATCATGGTTTAAAACAATGGTGATATCACCTAAAACATAGGTCATGGTTTAAAGGGGTTATCCGAATCACACAGGAGACCGTTTCTCTTCTTTAGGGATAGGACGCTGATCAGGAATCTACCTCAGGAAAGACAAAAGTTAATAAATAAAATAGCTCTGGGCCTCTTTACCTGACCAAGCCTCCTATTTGCCCAGCTTCCCATTCAAGAGCATTTTCTGCCATGACTGAAATTAATGTCCTTGAATTTGGATAATGGTTCCTGTTTGTCAGGACAGAGGAAAGTGGTGCATGTAGAATCTTGCTTGCTGTACAAAGGCAAAATGTCCATTTGTTGCTATGGCAGTTTCGCATCTGGGCCTACCCACCACCACCATGTGGCCCTTGGGAGGCTGCCTAGGAGGTAATGTGGCCCTTGGGCCGAAAAAGATTCCCCACCCCTGTTCTAAGGGAGAAGGCATGCTCACCCATGGGGACACAGAGGAATGCACATCATTTGAGGATCTTCAGAGTATAAGAACAAAAAATAAAGCAAAAAAAAAAGCAAGATGGCAAAGGTTTTTTGCTGCTACACTTTTGCTGGTAGGTCATGACCTGAACATCACTCCCCCCCCCCACCAGAACAAAACCTTCCTTCCAGAGCCTTCCACCCTGCAGGTCAAAACTCATTCCCCACCCCCAGGGACACCACGTGGCTATTATGGTAAAGAGGTCAGTGATAGCGGATCCCCAAAGACCAGATTATCAAGCTGTTTTGACATCAGCGTAATCTCCAAGCGCTGCCTTTTCAAAACAATTATCAGAAGGGATTGGGGAGTGGGGCTTTGGTGGCAGCAAAGTGATGTTGGGATGTGGGTTATTGGATTTTGGGAGATCTTACTATAGTGGGACAGCAAAACACAAACTCCCCACGTAGCTGCCCAGAGAAAGACGTCATTCTGGAGAAAGACGTCATTCTTGTTGGGCTGGCTGCCACAGGGCTCCCTGTCTTCATCCTCTTAAATGGGAATGACAATCAACAAAATGGCCTCTGGGCTGCTCACTCACGGAGGGTTTGTCGAGTGCGATTTTCTGCACACTGAAAAACAACCTGGTATCTATCTCACGGGCAGCAGGCAGAGGTGGCAGCTTCAGATGATAAAATGTGGGCACCGTTAAAGCATGGTAAATGTCAAGTATTTTTTTTTTACCAAGTGGAACTTCCTACCACAGGTACCCAAAGGCTTTGGATATTTCCGTATAAGACTTTTGAGGCCTGAGGGAATTCTAGGGCACATTCCAGCCTCGGGAAAGTGCTTGAGGCACCCCATGAGAAGCGTGGCTTGGGGAAAGCCCTGAGGGCCAGATACAGATGTTTGGAGGGCCATATTCTACTCCAGGGCCCGAAGCACATGTTTTGCCATGCAAATGGCCCCGGGTTCAATCTCCAGGAAGGACATTTATCTGAAAGTTGCTGCAAGCCAGTGTCAAAAACAATGAGCTAGATGAATCAATTGCTTATCTAAATGGGAGGGTGTTTACCATTTCCATGAATATGCTCATAGCACTAGCTAACAAGAAAATAAGTGACACATCTAGTCCAGCATCCTATTCTCACAGTGGCCAACCAGATGCCCCAGTTGAAAGCCTGAAAGCAGGACCCGGGCACAAGAGCAACTCTCCCCTCCTGTGGTTTCTAGCAACTGGTATTCAGAAGCATTGCTGCTTCTGACAGTGAAGGCAGAGCATAGGCATATATCAGAGTATAACTCATACATACACACACACTTGAAAATAAGAGTAAAATTCAAAACAG